CTCTTTGCCTAGTTTGAGGCCTCACAGAATCGATGCAACTGAATTTACCGGAGAGGATTCTTCACATCTAATTATGTACAGGCAGAATTTCTTGCACTGGTTCTGAGTGGAACTACAGGAAGAAATTGAAGAAGCAGTGGAAGAAAGGCTGTTCTAAAAATAAATAAAACAAAAAACGGCAACAAAAGAGCCAGAATCACTTTCCTGCAGTGAAATCCGCTGTACCACGAAGATGACCATGGCAGGAATCACCAAAAATTCTTTTTTCATCACCAAAAAAACTTCCTAAGAAGAGCTTCTGGGCCCTTACACTCCTACCCTTACAAATGTCAGCTGATGTAATGAGAGGTACTATACCTTTTGCTGATATCTCCTAAAAGAGGAATGTTTGGGACGTGGATTTTTTTTCCCTCCAAGATATGCTGCAGGTAAAAAGCTTCACTGACTACTGACTGCAATCCCCAAAAGAACTAGAAATTCAGTCTGAAAGCGCTGATGGTTAAAGTGAAGCTAGATGCGATCAAATTTAGAGCATGCTGAAGCGCCCTCAAACTGCTACCTACCAGATCTGAGATTCCAAGGAGTTTCTGGGAGACCACACTCAAATTGAATTTCAGTAGTTCTCTGCCAGACTGGGAGAACGTGACTTGTCCATAGGAGTCAGGCCTGTACCTAACGCTGTCCAACACTTCAGTAACCCAGATGAGAAAACAAATGAAACCCTCGTTAAATCTGCAACTTATACAAAGCCTGGGAAAAGTGTAGCACGGTAGAAGACAGGATTAGAATTCAAAGTTATCTGTACAAACTGAAAAAACTCTTGAAAGTAAACGGGGAAGATTTCACTAAGGAGAAATGCAAAGTAATACAGCTAGTAGGACTAATCAGCTGCAGAAACAGAAGACTGGAATCAACTGGGTGCATTGCAGTTCTGCAGAAACCCAGTAACATAATAGATCACAAACTGCTGACATTATCAGTGTTAAAATACAAGCAAACTTAATATTGAGATGTAAAACAAGGAGCAAAGTACCTAAGGCAAATGAAAAGTCCAACTTATTTGGGTACTACAAGACAGGAGAAAGTTAGATCAATTAGACTGCAATGGAAAATACACATGATCAGAGGCTTGGAAGATATAATGTCTTGAAGTAGTTGGTTTTCCTCAACCTAGAGACCAAAGGAAGAAACATTTACCTGCCAAATATGTAAGAAGCTGTTCCTAACTGTGAGAAAACATTTTTCTACATATTTACTCTGGATGTGTAAGTATTGAACTTCAGATCTCACAAACATAGATTTAATCTGTCCACTAGAAAACAATATAAAATAGTAACTATAAGTGTGAGCAAGCATTGACACAGATGTACAAGACCTGTTGTCAGAAAATTAAGAACTTATTAAGCAAAGGCAGCAGCTTCCAAACTTTTTCAGCTAGAGGACTACAGGTAACAGATCTAAAATCTTGCAGATAACTACCGAAACCAAAAAGACAAGATGGTATACATTGCTAGCATACCACTGAACACTTGGGTAGAAGAACATCTGCGAGGAACCGTTTTGGTAGCACTTGATCCCATCTGGCACAAAGGAATGCACTAAACAATCCTTTACCTTTTAAACTGAAAGGCTGCCTGGCATATTGAAAAGGAACCCATGATTCACTGTACTTCCTGATGTTCTTCAGTGGAGATGGTGAAAAAATAAAGTAATAACTGCTGCTTCTGTTTTAAGAAAAATAATAAGCAAAGTTTTTTTTTGTTTTTTTTTTTTTTTTTTTTTTTTTACATATAGAAATTCGTCTGGCAAGCTCGTCTCATTTTTTGTTTCTGTTAAAAAATGTGGTAGCACTTAGCCTGGAGGGTCCTACCATTTTAATTACATCATCTTTTATATAAGTTGTGTTATTAACAATCTGCTACAAATATGGATTTTGTGATTGTCAATGACACAACATCAAACCTGGTTAGTTTTCAACTATGAGTATTCATAGGTCATGTGTATTCCTGAGAATCAAGTAATATTCTTTTAGCAGACAGATCACTGCTCTAAGCAAGGAGTGCTACCAGACTTGGTGATTTAAATTCCCAGTACAGCTAAAGAAAAAAAAGCAATGGATATTTCAGGCCTCCAAAAAAAAAAAAAAAAATATTAAAATATTTTTTTAACTGACAGGCAAGAGATAATTCCTTTTGTCATTTTCATTTCATTATTCACTTTTATCTCTACTTTCTATAAGCTTACTGACCTCTCAGTCTTCAAGTCATAATTCAAATGTGAATGTCTGTGGGCAAACAGCACTGCTGCAGAATGACATGAGAAAAAAAATTAAGTCAAGCAGCTAGGACAGTTGCTTGGGAGCATCCTGTGTTTACACAGCATTGTGTGTCATCTAATGTGCATGTAGGGAGGAAGAAGAGATCTACACTGTAAAAGGACCTAGGCTGAGGTTTATACCAGCTCATTTAGTAACAAATCAAGTTGTGCATTCTGTCTGCACTGAATCCATAAAAGCATCATGAGCCAAGGCTCCAAAGTCAGTAAGAAAGAAACACACTTTGTACATGAGTGAGATGTGTTCCTGCATCTCCTTGACAGCAGTCACTGGGACACAAATACCACCCAACTCCATGCAGTTGTGGAGAGAGAGAGGGAAGATGAACAGATAGAAGAAAATAGAGAGTATATAGAGAAGATGATGTAAAATAAAAAAGGACCTTATCCTGTATTAGGGGTAGCTGAAGAGAGAGAGTTCTTAGCCCATAGAAATGCTCTTGTAAGGTAACTGTCTGAACTTTTGCTTACTTTTCTTTTTTTTTTTTGGTTTTGTTTTTCCCCCAAAGAACAGGAATAACCTTTAGAATAATCAGAGCAGAAAACAGTATGTAGTAAACACCAAACAGCATTTTTTTTTCCTTCTCTCTCCCCGCTCCACTGAACACAATGGCATTCCTTGAAAAGAGTCCAGCTCCAAACCTATGCAGCTTTAATTTTTCTTTGGCTAAGCTATCACTGACCTCAAGAACTGAAGAAAATACAGTATCAGTCAATATGCCTGCTCAGCACCTTTTTCTACTCAACCTAGAGCGGCCCAAGTTCACACCAGAGAGAAGCATGTATCTCTGCTGAAATAAGTAGCACCTGATCGGATTTATTTAGTATCTAGAATAACCTTAAGAAACCCCAAAGAAGTCTGACCAAAAATGTCCTCAAAATACTGTGAACTAAGCACTACTTGAAATTAAGGAACAGCAAGTATTGGCAGAATTATTAAAATTCCTCAAACCTGAAATCAGCAACAGTTCCAATCAACTCTTTCTACAGCGTATTTTACACTTGGCTTTCTTTCTCTTCTGCTTAGTTCTGCTACCACTTCAACTTCTAGTGCAAGAAGGCACTTCGGCGTTTTATTGCTGAAAAGTACCATTCTTACAAAACAGGGAAGACAGACATAAATGGAAGGGCTTCCATACCAAATAAACAGAAGTAATGGAACACAACTAAGTTTCCTTTTTCCTCCTCATGTCAAATAAACAGTACATTCAGTTCCATAACCTGGGTTGGGCTGCCTTCCCTCCCTCCCCCCTCTTTGTACAGGCTTAGGTGAAAAGCTTTTGCGTCCTATTTCCCAAGTACACGAGTTTCAAGTTGGAGGGGGGCCAATTAAAACAGGAAGCCATTTGTAATATTTCTTTAGGTGTCCCATAAATTCCAACCTCAGCTGTAACCAACCTACTTTTTTTTTTTTTTTACGCTGCAGGCTGATAGAGCTGGGGTTTTTAATGCAAAAGCAAGAAAATGAGCAACTAGGTGATGAACTTGAACTCTAACCACCTCCACAGAACCTCTACTGGACTATTTCATTTGTGTCTAGAAAGGTGGCATGTGATGCAAGGAAGACATATGTAATAAAAGAAGAAATTGCTGCAAAAGATAAAGAAAATAGGACACTGACTAAAAGCTGTCCACAGCTGAAAAAAAAAAAGACAGCAAAAAATTCAAGAGATTATTACTGCAAGTAAAGAATGAGGTACAGACACCACTGCTCGAGAAGGTCTAAATATTCTGCTTCTCCTTCCCACTTCTTTGAACAATTTTTGAGAAAGAGTTTTTGTTAACATGCTTGCCAAGCAATGTAGACACACAAAGTGGCTAGGCTTAAAACAAAAAACAAAGAAACCAAAAATAATCCCCACACTTTTTAACCGTTGCACAAGCGTACAGGGATGATGACATGATGCTGTTCTACACACAGAACAGGGTCTTTTGGAAGTGGACATATATTTGAAGTTTTATCTTACAATTTTCCCCATCTATTCACAAACTTTTCATTTGAATATAAAAATTGGATTTTTGAATAGAGAATAAAAGATTGGAATTTAAATTACATGTCCTTTTCACTCCAACAATACAAGCCACGGACTGGAACAATCTCAAACTTTAGAGAACAACGTAATACTTCATACATCATATGCCTATTTCTGCTCACTAGCTTTGAACCAAATCCGTATTACTTATTTTAGAAACTTTACATAAAAGCTGTGGGCTAAAGCTAACAATTCTTGAAAGGACAATATCTTTTGCCTGGTGTTTTCTCCCTCTTTTCAAGCTGATATGGAGATTTTGTTTCAGCTTTATTCTGAGCAAAACAAACACGAGGAGCTCATTAGCAAAGTCTTTTTTTAAAAAACAAAAAACCACTTTTTTTTTTTAAACATTTTTTAAACAAAAAATTACATCGGGGTCTAAGAACTGCAGGAGCTTCCTTTGACAAGAAGAGAGAGAACGTCAAAGCTAGCAGAAAACCCTTTTAAATTATCTGTACCAAGGGGACATTAAAGAAGAGATTAATTGAGAAAAGAAGGGTAAGAGGAAAAGTCAGGAAAAAATAATCAATAACGAATTTATTATACAATTGCCAATGAGACAATTATATTATTGGAAGAATTTGGAATCGAGTTCACTGTCTGTAGATATTTTCTCATTTTTTTTCTACTTACCTAGACCTTTTTGTCCAGGGTTTTTAGCAAAGTTGAAAGTAAATTGATAAAAATCTTTGAACTTTGTTGGATCCTTCAGTTCTTGTTCCAGTCGCGGCAATAGAGCTTTTAGTTTTTCTGTGGTGTCACACCTGTTGACAGAGAGATTACAATATTTATATATAATTAAAGGATTTTTTCAGTTTCAGAGCAAAACAAAAGAGTAGTTAAGATAAAAACAGTGTCTCAACGTAGAATTTAAAAAAATATGACAATCTTTTACTAAACATTTTTAGGTAGAACAATACATATAGGCCTTCAGAAGGACACAACATGATCACAGAATTTCTAGGTTGAAGGAGACCTCAAGATCATCGAGTCCGACCTCTGACCTAACACTAATAAGTCCTCCCTTCCCTTTCATAGCTGTTGTAACATAAGCTTAATGTTTTAATCTAATTACACTTTATTTGTTCCCTGTTCTACATAAATTAAGAACTGCGTGCTATTTTTACAGCTAATCTTGATAGAGGACTTTCCAACAAAATGAACTATTTGCAAACATCTGCTTGCCACCACTGTATACCTACAGATAAAACCTGGGGAAAAAAAAAAAGAGCCTTTGACAATACTTTGAAGGCTGACAAGGTGTTTAACAGCTTGGCACAGGTACACTAAGATGGGATCAGGTTACTGAGACTCTAACAGAAACACATCCCTTGACACAACTGAAGTATTTCCTGTGAAAGTGTATGACCCGACAAGATGCAATTTTAGAAGAAAAAGGGTTTTCCCCACATCAAGGAATCAAATGCATATTCAAGATCTACAGGATATTACCAATGCTCTGAACTGCACCTTGATACTCAAAGAGACGGAAACTGGTTTCAGAAAATCTTGCAGATAAAATTTCTCAGTACCTAAACGATTGCATTTATTTTAAAACTTCAATAACAATTTTATTAAAGAATGGATGGGTATAGAAAAATCTATACAATGCAGATGTTGTTCTAAATATCTTGCATGTTACAGATTTAAAAAAAAACAACCCTCCCTTGTCTCTAACAGTACCTGGTAGAGGAAAGATGAGGAATTTTGCCAAGTTTTCAACTGAGAGCTTCAGTTTCCTGGGGACATGATCTACCTAACAATAGGAACACTTAACATGCCTTCCTTCTGCTTCCCATTCACACCCTGACAGTGCTATGTGGACTAAGCCTCAAGGAATGTCTTTTCATTCAAATCTTAACCTGTGTTCAATGCTAACAAACCACAGATGCTGCACATCCTGTATGTAACAAAAAGCATTCCAAATTATCAATAAGCAGCATACCAGTGCCAAGCAGGTATGACCAGATTATGCTTCCAAGAACTCTAAAATGGACAGAGAGGTAAAATTCACAGACCTCTGTGAAACATATCATACAGGACATAAGATCAACATAACAATGAAGTTACAAAATAACATCCAAGCCAGAAACCATAGGAGGATTAGCAAAATCTTTTTATTTTTAAATCAGTTAAATCAAATAATGCTGGCAGCCTTCAATGTAACAGCATAACTGCTTGACTTCTCCATGGCTAGAAAGTCGTAACTATTCTGAATCTATCCAAAACCCAGACTGAAAGGGACAAAATAAAGCAGTGGAGTTCAGATGATGTTAAAAGATCTTTCATCATTTTCTGAAAATCCTTACCTGAAAAGGAAAGCTTAGACACAAGTCAATAACAACAGACTGCTAGGACCCCTGCTTCAAGAAACAGCTACTACATTTGCTCGCAGTTGCTCTACTGTAGAAAGGTATTAATGAAGTGTCATTCTAAACCAAATTAAGTTATTTAACAACTAAAAGTATGCACAATAAACTGTACTTTCTCACTTACCTAATGTAATCTGTTAAAAAATATATATACACATATGTATTTTATATAAGGGTCAAAATGATACATATAATTAATACAACATTTCTTCTAAAGAGTTATACATAAAATATTAATTTATGGTAATAAATGCTTGATTTTATTGCTAAACAGGAGGGTTAGGTTTTAGCCTCTGTCTACTCTCCAGACCAGTTCAATAATTCAGGAAGGAAAAAAAAATCTTTTATTAGTTATGTCACAGTCAGAGCAAATAACTTTTTTCTACCACTGGTACTCTCATTTTTATTTCAGTTCCTTAGAGATATTCTCTACAAATGAAGTATCTAGCATAGAAGGCAATAAAAGAAAACTATATTTTGTAAAACTGGTAAAAAGAAAGAGTTCCATTTGGTGGTGAGAAGATAAAGAATGGAAAGTTCTTCTCTGCTGTGCTATTTCTTCTCAATGCTGAGATTTTTCTTTTTATTTGAAGCTTCTCCAGTGATGTTCATCTGTTAACAGCATGGCATCCAACAAAACCGTAACACGATCATACATGTATTTATGTAAGTTACATAAAAAGATCAGCATATCTTGCTGTACTGTTTAGAATTATTTTGCTTCTACCATTAATATTTTGCAGTAAAGCACCAGTTTACAGAAAACTGGCACTACCGGCCTTTAGCACCTGTTAAGCTTGGCACCATCACTACCAGCTTTTCAAAGCTTCACACTTGATTTAATCAAAATATTTTACACAGAAACTGAGAGCATTACATTTTGAACCATGAAGAAACTGATACTCACCCCAGCTCTGTCATGCCATCTACAAATTCTTTTTTACTAAATTCACACTGAGTAGCTGCCCTGAACTTCCATGCTACAACCAGAACACTGATACTGGCAGGGTCCAGGCTTAAATCATCACAGAACTGCTGAATCCCATCAATGCCGATTTTATTTTCATCTTGCGGGTCTGCAATTCAAAACACAAAGAGGAGAATTATAATTATTCATAAAATCATTTACCAATAGTCATCAGCACAGCTCTGATATGCTGCATATCACAGGTCTTTGGTTTTACATAAGCTTCACTTGAAATCTCGTTATTCAGTAGGTAGATCAAGTATTCTGCAAACTTCCTTACGAATTGGATCACAACTTTTTCCTAAATGTACAAGCTAGGTTTAACAAAGCAGTTTTGTCTTCTTTCCCACAATGCTCCACGCAAGATCCAAATTTACAGGAAGAAATGCCTGACTGAATCTACAATGCAGCAAGGCTGATAAATACATCCACCTGCACAATGTATTTACTGGTTAGCACATGGCTAACTTAAAAAAAAAACAAAACAAAACAAAAAACAACTAAACAAAAACTTCCCAGAGATTTTTTCCTGCTAGTGGCAGATGAGAATACACTACAAGTGTACACTGAAATATTTTTGGTTTTTCATTGCAAGCCAGGAAAATCACCACAGCATTGCTCAAATGATGCCTCAGCACACTAGTGGCTTATGATAAACAATACAACTTAGAAAATGTTATGTTTCACTAGTACTAAGTACCTTCTTTAAGATCAGCACCACACTACCTGAATGTTAGGGTTGGTAACAATGCTGTAACTGTAACAGAGTTCTCTCTTAAAAAAAAAAAAAAAAAAAAAAAAAACACTAAAAATTACACCTTTCATTCTCAAGACTTGAGGTATCCCTCGAGTAAGCTTAAAAAATTAATCCCTTAAGCTGGTAAGATTTTCAACTACACTACTTTAAGTCCTTATTCTATGACTGATCAAAAAGCCAGTTTAAGAAACCTTTTTTTGTTTTGTTGACATAAGATCTCTTTCGCTTTTCCAGACACAGCTACAGTAGCAAACATACTAAAAAGGGAAAGTTAATTTAGCAAAGGTTTACACCCATTACACAAAGAATTATTATGGACTTTTGAGCAGGAATAACAAGTAACAATTCTACTGTGTGCCAGATCTAGTTCTGTGACAAAATGCTTTTTTTATATAACTTGGGAATAACTGAAGATATGAAGGCAAAAAGTGTGTGTGTGTTCTGAAAAATCACTGGAAACATTTTGATGCATTTCAACAAGGACATCCTTATCATGCTGCATGTCATCCAAGTGATTGGGAACAAAAATGAATTTGTTGCTTTGATAAAGCTGCTAGATAAACAGATAAGACAACTACCACCAAGGGGGCACAGCAAATGAAAGACCTCTCATCTCAGATTTCAGAATATAATGCAATGTACGTAGTAATTCTATAAACCCTAGTGAAAACAGAGATCCCATCTTGTTGAGAGGCCGTGTGAAGTTTAAGCTACATCTAAGCACCTTTCCCTCGGTGCCTAATCAAGTCTGCTGTCTCTTAAACCTTGTGAAAGTTTTGTTAAGTTTACAAGCTTACTGTGATTTGCAGGAGAACACAAAAGGTGTGCTGCTAACCAAAACACAGACATAACTGGATAGACTTCTCTTTGACAAAAATAAATGCTAGTTTCCATTGCTATAATATTATGAATAAGAAATAAATTTGTGATTTTTTAAGATTTAGATATTCTTGGCAGCATTTGTGAATTGGTATATATATTTTCAAGCAAAGGACTGAGAGAAAGAGATACAGACACATACTAAAAACAAAGAGTGGTTCATTAATCCAACTTTTTCCACCTTCTCAGAGGAAATGCTACAGTTTTGCTGATTCTTTGTCTCTCCCACAACTCATTGCCACCTTTTAACAAAATACTGAAGATATTGAAGAGTGTCTATATTTAAAAGAGAATGTGTGGTTTAAAGAGTAGAAAAAAAGAAGTGGAAATACTATTGTAAGAGTAAGATGTAGTATATGTGAAGCAGGCTACATACTACAAGTAGAAAAGTATGTGAAATCATAGCTGATTAATTTTGAGGAGTCCATTTTTTTAAAACACAAGGTTTATGGATCTCAGCAGTGACTGGTAATGATGCTTCCAGTGCACTCTGCATGAACATGTAAAGAACACATGTGTTCCCATCAGATGGCCACATTTCAGAAGTCCCTGTTACCTTGATCGCTCACATTTTTACATACATTCTTACATGACTTTTTTTTTCCCTATTCCTTTTATTTTTCCTATCTTTTTAACAATGCTCCAAAATCAAAGGAAAAAGAAACAACTCTGCCTTTAACCTGCTTCCCTATGGTTTTCCCTCCACGCCTCTCTGAACACAGGCATCATTTTTGCTGTCATAGGCAAGCAGGAAGAATAAATTAAGGATGGAGTTTCAAGACTACTTTTTGAGTTTTCTCATTTTACTCTTTAGTCAGGCTTCTAGCCATAATGTTACCCGACACGCTTTTGATTTCGATGTATAGAAATACTACCATCTTGGAACTAAATTAACTCCCCCAAATATTTGTACAGGACTCATGTGTATTATTTTGCCACCCAAAGTGCATCACAGATATATTTAATAGCAGCCACCAGCAATAAATCCAGTTCCATAATAAGCTCTACTCTCATTTCTACAATACGTAGCTGAGACTTTCTTCATGACAGGTTTAGTTTTCTGTTGTGAATTTATTTGAAACTCTACAGGAATACCTAAGAAAGCTGTGTATCGGAATACTGAGAACATTTAAAACCTCTCTCGTTCTTACCTCCCTGCTACGTACAGAGTAAGAAGCACAAGTTAGCAGAGGGAAGAGTAGCAATACCACCCCAAAGGAAATTTAAAAAAACAAATGAAACCCAACACAAAAAAAAAAAGAAGCCTTACCTTTGTATCGATTATACAATTGTTCTAATTTCTTCCTGTCTACTGAATTTTTCATGGATTCTTTGTAGTACAAGTCTGGGTTCTGGAAGTAGTTGTCTGTTGCCACTTCTAGTTTCCACTCATTCTGCATTAAGCAGTATATAGCAGTCCTTTCCCCAGCCTGGGTAAATGCCATAAACTGCCGGACCTTGTCCTTCTGTGACGATTTAAGCTTATGCTTTGGGATGCAAAAGAAGCAGGAAAGCCAATGAAGCTAATCCAGAAGTTTGTTTCAGCATTCTACTACTAACGCCTATAGTTAAAAGGGTTTAGTTTTCTTGTTGATGGTAACCTTCACTTCAGAATTATGGGAAGACAAAGCCTCGTTCTTCTGCAGTTAAAAAGACAGCATTTTATTCTGAAAGTCGAAACGACAGCATCTACACGTACATTTTTAGCAAAAAATATTCTGTCAGTAATAGACTTACGCCTTCTATGCAAGCGTCTTTTCTGTAACATCAGCTTTTCTGTAACATCAGCAAACACAAATTTCATCATATAACTATAGGGCTATCTTCTGAAAACATAAACATATAAACAAGGAATCACACAGGCCTGATGTACAGATTCTCAGGTCCTGTACAAGCCCTTTGTGAATGGAGAAAGTGAGAAATCTGCTTAAAGGTTTTCCTGATTTGCTAGCGCTAATTCAAAGTTTAATCATTTTAAGTGATCAACTGAAAGTCAGAAGCATTTCTCACATCTTTTTGTTAGCAACTAGTAACTTTTGCCATCAGAAGATGCAAGACCGAAAGAAAATAAAGCACACACACCCCAGAGGTTTGCTGAATGCTGCAGCGAGTCCACAAAGTTCCCGTAAACATGATCTAAAACTTTAATTTACTCTGAAAAAAAGCTATTTACACTATTAGCACATTAATCAACATAGTGGCCTGCTGCAGGGGCACAGAGGAGCCACGGAGGGGTTCCTCTTAATGAGGGCTAATTGCAGCAGCCGCCTCTCCGCAACACCCCCAAGTTTATGGGATAAAAAAAGAGGTGGGAGATGGGATTTTTTTTTGGGGGGGAGCAAACCTGCTGTTAACATCGGTCAGCGTGATTCTGTGGTAAAAAGGAGGTTGCCTACATCCAACTCTTTTTTTTATCGTGTTTTGGCACCACCTGATTCGGCTAAGCCACGCTTGGCGTAGCTGTCGGACCAGGATGTCTTATCTGAGAAATTTGTCTGAAGCTGCTTAGGGCTGCCTGGAGGACGAGGCTGGATGGGGGTGTCCTAAGCAGGAGCGGGACGGGGAGCACTGCAGGTTTGGGCTCACAGCCCCATCCTAGGGCTGCCTCCTTATCTCTGGGGCACACGCGGATCCTACAGATGAACTCAGGACACGCAACGCGTGGCACAGGCAAGATACAAACGGCATTTTTTTCCCCAATTTTATATAAGCAGGCACCCATAAAGCTTATTTTTTGCGTAACACCCCTTGAAACCACCACCAGAAGGGTCTTTTGGGATAAAACCCCCTCACTTCTGACAAAACCTCAGACACCACACCCCAACTCCTCATTACCCAAACCCTTGATCCGGGAGGGCACCCGGCGGGGGTCGGGGGTGTGGGGGGGACCCCAAAAACGCCACAACCCCAGACGTGAGGGGACAGACAGCGGGACGGACAGAGGGACACGGAGGGGGGGGGGGCGCTGCGTGTCCTCCCGCAGCCCAAAAAAGGGCAAGGTACGCGGCTGCCGCCTGCCTGCCCGCCTCGGGTCACCTTCCCGCTGCCTGGCACCGGGGGTGGGGACACAGCGGGGGTGAGGGGGGACACTGAGGGTGGGGGGGTCCCCGCTCGCCCCCCCTCCCCAACCGTCCCCAACCGTCTCCAACCGTCCCCGCACCCCCCCTCAGCCTCTGCCTCAGCCCCAGCCCCGCCGCCTACCATGGCACCAGCGGCGCTTCGCCCAACTTCACCGCCCGCCGCCGCCTCCCGCGCAGGCGCTGAGGAGCAGCAGCGCCGCCTCCTCCTTCCTCCTCCTCCTCCTCCTCCTCCTCTTCTTCCTCCTCCTCCTCTTCCTCAGTTAGGCCGCGGCCGAGCGGCGGACTACATCTCCCAGCGTGCCCCGCGCCGCACCGCACCGCCCGCCTAACGGAGCGACCCCCGCCGCCGCGCCCCTCTCTATAGCCACACGCACACAGAGCCAGGACTACATCTCCCATCAGGCAGCGCGCTTAAAGGCGCCGCAGCGGCTCCGCGGGGCTGCTGGCGCCCGGGGGCCTCGCCCCGCTGCCGCCGTGCGGGGTGCGGGGCGCGGAGCCCGGCCGGGCGCGGTGCGGTAAGCGGGGGGCGCTGCTGGGGGGGGGCTGCTGGGGGGGGGCTGCTGGAAATGGCCAAATGCTGCGGTCCGGCTGCTGGAAATGGCCAAATTGCAGGGATTTGACCGAAATCGCGAAGTATTCGTGCTTTACGCGCCGCCATCCGCGGGGTGGGCGCGCTCCTGCCCCTCATTGATCCCCCCCTTTCTTAATTTTAAGCGTTTTAGCTCCTGCGTTCCTAAACCTTGCTCTATAGTCAACTCCAGGCACCTAAATATACGGGCTCGCCTTTCATTCATTGCAAGCAGACCGACAAACACCCCCAACGGGCAGGGGCAGGGGTTTGGGGCACCCCAAAACCCAGCAGGGCACCCCAAAAGCTGTGCTTGGCATCGTCCCGACACCTCGTACCCCTCCCTGCCACCGCTGCTGCCATATGGGCACGGCGGGTCCGCTGCCAGCCTGCCACCGGGCAGCAGTGACCCCAGTGGTGACCCCAACCCGGGGTTAAAGGGCGAAATTTGGGCTCACGCAGGCTCCTTTGGTGATATACCAAAATATCCCATGGGTTGTGTGTCTTCAGGGTGCTGATTCAGGGTCTCAGGGGGTGTTTTATTGCGTGTAGCCTTGGGGTGGGTTTGTGCCATGAAAATGTCCCTGGTCTTGCACCGAGATGCGGGGTAGCTCCTGGGAAAGGAACTTAGGAAAGATACCGATTTTGTTTTTAATATCAATCTCTTTTATAACGTAAGTCTATTTAAAATCACGAGGATCAATAATTAGTGCTCAAGCAGAGTGCCCCCGGGCCACGCAGCCTTTCAGGTCGAGGTCTCCCATCCAAGCTGGTAGCACCAAGCCCAGCAAGTTCTGGTTTTCCCTGCAGGAACGCTTCTCTCACAACTACAGTGTGATCTCTATCAATTAAGGTTCTCTTTGTTGAGTTTTATGTAAATCCCAGAATCATCCAGGTTGGAAGAGACCTCCAAGATCACCTGGTCCAACCTCTGAGCCAACACCACCAGCTCTCAGACTCTATCCATAACAAGTGAACACGATACAATTTTTCAGGATAGGCTTCAGAAACGACAAGAGGTTACTGATATAAAGGAAGAAGGCCTTCTGGTGCTAGGTTGAAGTCCAACCTACAGCCTCATGATATTTTTAATGGCTTTTCCCTCCTCTAGGAAGCAGCACAGATGACTACCGTGTGATATGACTAAGCCTTCCGTTTGATGTTCTTCAGACAAGGTCATCTCTAGAAAACAGAGGGAATAAAACCCGACAGTGACTTTGGGCTGTTGCTTGGTTTTGATAACTCTTGACCGCAGGAGACCATATGTGTTCTGTTAAAGATCGTGGCACAGAAAGCAGCCTTCGGTTTGTTTTATAATTTGTTTGATCCAGTGACTCAATGTTATGATGTTTGATAACTGCTTGGTACTGTCTTGCAGCACGGTGTGTGCGCTGGGGATGCAGAAACCATGCAGCAGAAAGCCGTGAGCGGCTGTGGATGATCAGCTTCTCCCCAACAGCAGTAAAAAGCGAAGGATGAAGGTGACTGGGCTTACTCCCCTGTGGACGTTGCTTTCGCTGCTTTGTGGCCACCTGGCGAACGCTGCAGACCATGAGGATGTGGTAAAGCACGCGATAAAGCTGCACCGTGGGAAGGGAGCTGTTATCACCCAGCGAAAGCAGTGGGTGATGGAGAGCTGCAGGAAACTGTCCGGCCTTCTTCGCCAGAAGAACGTCGTTCTCAACAAACTGAAAAGTGCCATAAGGGCGGTTGAGAAGGATGCGGGGCTGTCAGACGAGGAGAAACTTTTTCAGGTGCATACCTTCGAAATCTTCCAAAAGGAGCTAAATGAAAGTGAAAACTCCGTCTTTCAAGCAATCCATGGCCTCCAGAGAGCTCTACAGGGGGATTATAAAGACGTTGTAAATATGAAAGAAAGCAGTAGGCAGAGACTGGAAGCCTTGAGAGAAGCTGCAATTAAGGTTAGTGCCTTCTCCCTTTTGTTCCTCCCCCCACTGTGTTTGTTCCTAGAATATTATTTTAATTTTATTATGATACTGTTTCAATCTGTTCTAATGAAAAAAAGTGGATCTACATAAAGCTGGGAGTTTTAAAGTGGATTTTGAATAAAGTTGTGAGTATGTGATTCTGGAATAAAGCTTAAAGCTTAGTGGCAGCCAATAGTTAGACCAAAACAAAGCCAAGCATACTCACACGTCAAATATGTCAGACGAGGAGGAAGACAAGAAGTGAGTCAGTGAACTTAACAGAGCTGCACTGTGTGAGTGACTGGCATTATGCGAGTGGAAATAAGGCAACAAATTGGCAAAATACTAAATGTTTTTTCCACTTCAGAAGAGAATTGCTCAACGAAAACCTGCAAATCAGGCAGAACGACTTCTTTACTTCCTGTACTCCCATAGATGTGGGTAAAATGGGCGTGCAGAGCATTGATGACAGGATTCTTTGACCTCGCTGGAGAATTCCTAGCTGAAGAAGTGCAGGTTTGAAAAATAACATCTCCAGGAAAGAGCTGGCTGAGGTAACTTTGCTGAGAAAAGCACAGATGAGTAACAGGAGAACAGAAGTACTTTGGGGAAAGTTTGGGTTCCCATGTTGGTGCAGAGCTGTTGGGGCTTGCACAGTCTGGCCCCAAACTTGGTAGTGCTCAGGGTGTCTACTGAGAGCCTACAAAGGAGAGAAAATGTTGCTGAGCTGACTCAGTAGTTAAATTGTTCGTTTCCTAGCCTCTACCCCTCAACCACTGAAGAAAATCATTAAGAATTTTCTTTGTTTTCTTCAGGAAGAGGCTCTCCTTGTGGAAGGGAGCCAAGGAAGGGAAAAAAAAATGTAATTGGGCTATAGTGAGCAGGGAGCAGAGAATCTAGAAAGTGCATCTGCATGAGAGATGGGCAGACCTTAGCAGGTGATGATGGCAAGAGACTGCTGTGTGCCAGAAACGTGTGCCAGAAATGGTTGGGAAGAAAGGCTGATGGCCGTAGAAGGTAGGATGCAGGCTTGGGAGGCTGGAGTGGTCTGTGCAGTGGAAAAAAGGGCTGGATTACCAGAGCCTAGCTTCTGCAGGGGTGGGATATAAAGGTGCATGGCTGTCTAAACAATGTTTGTTGTTCTAACCTTGTAAGTTGCTTTATAATGTGAAATAAAGGTGGAGATGATGGGGAAATGAATGCCAAAGATGAACATTACACGGAATAAATTTTCTTGGACTCTTTCTCGTTTCAAAAGACATGCACTAGATCTGGTTTTGTTCCACTTTGGTTTTATTGTCGTGATTATTTTCTCGGTGCACTCGTGAGACATCCTTTCCATTTTTTAAAGAGTGGTTGAATGGAAAGTACCAATTACTGCAGAGGATGCTAGACTCATACATTCACTTTATTTGTTTTTAGCTGAAGTATTTGAAAGTCTTCAATATCAGAATATGTGTGCGTGTGATGGGTCTGCTGCAGGGGGAAGGTATAGCAGTTGTTGATTTGGGGGAAATATTGAAGGTATTGAAGATATTGAAGATGTGCCTTGCTGGAGGAGCTATGTTGAGGTTCTAGACAAAGCAACAAAATCTTGTCTAGTTTACCTGCTTCAGATTTCTTGTGTGGAATTCAGATTTCCCTGATGGCAAAGATAAGTCTCAAGCATTGTAAAGAATTGAATTTGCTTTCTTCATCCTGTATTAAAGAGTAGGAACAGCAATGCTGCATTCTTAACTAGTCTTGCCTTCATTTTGCTCACATTTCTAGGCATTCAAGTCTGCTGCTTAGTACAGAATCCTTACTCATATAACCTTGCTTAAAACATTGCTTAGTAAGTACTTTGTGATCAAATACCTGAAATCCCAGCCTGAGCTGCAGAACAGAGCTTGCACTGTGATGCACTTTTGCCCAGCATTTTGCAGGCTGTTGTGGCAAGCAAGAAAGTTTCTCCTGCTCGTGGACACCGCTCTTGGACCCACTGTACTGCTGTGGCACTGGGCAAAACAGAGGTGCCACTTTGTAGGCTACGAATGCTTCATCTTCATTAAGGGAACCAGGTTGTTTCAAAGCTCTTCTTGTAAATTTAGAGTTTGTCCCAGCTGCCAGAAAGGACTGATCAGCTCCCTTTCACCCCAAACCTCTTTCTATTTGGAGGGGAGGGACTAAACCTCATTACCTCCAGAACTGTTGACTGAGGAAAGAGCCCACAGCTCTCCCTGGGTGTGTTTTTAACATCTCTGAGACAATGTCTGCAAGCAGAGAACAACAGATAGGAAATGTTTTCCTTTCCTCCAGGCTGTAGGAGAGTGACTGCGACTCCTTCCTATGTGTTGCATAAGAAGCGAAGCAGTTGACATCGGTCCAAACACGCTAATAGCTCCATTTTTTCCCCAACTCCAGTTATTTTAGGCGCTGGGTAATTCTCAGCATGCCAGTGTAACTATGGTAATCCCAAACGCCAGCAGACGAGAGGCAGCGATTCTGTGGTTTTGTCACAACCTGGAGCATTCATCAGGCTGTCGGGATTTCAAAAAAACAAACAAAAAACCTCCAGGCTAAACACAGTTACAGGCTGTTCTGAACATACTGCTGTCTGGGCGTCAAGGAATCGATGGAGTTATATGCATGTTCTTGGAGGTTTTCAGCAGAAAAATGTCCATCCACAACTGTGTGTGGAGGAGGGGACCCTCCTTATTCCAACACCGGTGTCTAGGATCAGTGTAGATGCCTAGGCTCTCTAAGATGCTTGTGTGGGGTAGGCAGACAAAGCCCAAAACTGGAGGGAAATAGATTTGTGTCTATCTGATCTCCAGCTGAGTATGGCAGAGCATCGAACATTCAGGTCGAAACCTGTGTTTTCAGGCAATTCGGTCTGACCTAGAGGTCGCTTGCAGTTTTTGCCCAGACTGTTTCTCGTTTCCCTCGGTAATAATATTGGCTCTCTCAAAAACCAGATGTAGGGGCTGTCTGAGCCAAACCCTCACGGCATCCTGAACCTCCCCGAAAGGAAGAAGCCTGCTGTTCCACCTCCCCTCACTCATTCATGATTGTCCACGCTCAGTTAGTGCATCTTCAAGGGAATGCAGGCATGTAAGCTGAAGCATCGTATATTTATCCCCCCCAAAATGCTGGGAAAGCTAACTTCATCCCAGCCAGACCCAGCACCTGATGGAAAATGCTTCCAGGGAAGCAGAAACAGGAACCTCAGCTAACTGCTGAGGGGTTTAGCTGCTCATCCATGCTCTTACCCAGCTTTTTTATTTTTATTTTTGTAGCAATTCTCAAAAATTACAGCAAGTGTGGAAATGATAAAACACGCTTCTTCCCATCTTGGTAAATCTGCTTGTAAAATTGCTTACAAAATTAAGATTCCTTATGTTTACCTTTCAGTTTGTTTGATGCTTGTAGCTGGTAAAGCAATGCTTTCAAGTTTATTACGCTTCCCTGCTAAAACATTGAGATTTAAATTTACATGGCTCTGAAATGTTTCCTAGAATTCCTCGGAGTAATTCCTCTCCTATTTTCTGTAACCTTGAGGCAGCTCTGCTGTTTAATGGATTAGAAAAGGGAATCAGTGTTTTGTTGTTTGTTTATTTTGCTTTGTTGTTTTCCTTGCCCCTTTCCTTCAATTGAGATTGGCACAAGAGAAAATAGTCTTCAAACACCAATACAATGTCTGTATTGCTTTTGCAATTCCCCCTGTAAGATGCTCTGTGTCAAAAGAAGCATTCATTTATGTTAAATGTTTGGCTGCTCAAAGGCCTGGCCAGCACTTTATCTGTGTTGTAAAATTCAACAGGAAGAAATGGAGTATGTCGAACTCCTAGCAGCAGAAAAGCATCAGGTCGAAGCCCTTAAGAACATGCAGCATCAAAACAAAAGCCTGTCAATGCTCGATGAAATTCTTGAAGACGTCAGGAAGGCAGCTGACAGATTGGAGGAAGAAATAGAAGAGCACGCCTTTGATGACAACAAATCTGTGAGTGATGTTTTGGATTGTCTTTTCATTCGTATGCATTTATTTTTAAGTTTTTGCTTTGCATTAAGTATGTGCATTGTATGGGTACTTCTCTTGTATTAGATAGCTTTTAGGATTTTAGTGACAACTTAAAAAAAAAAAACAAAACACCCTTTGGCTCTACATTTGTTTTTGCTTCCCTTTCAAGGGGAGAATGTAAGTAGCCGTAAAATAGTCGCTTTTTAGGAACGAGCAAACGGGGATCGTTATTTTCTTTGCTAATGATTTCTCTGCTTTAGTTTGAAAGTGCTCCCTGCGGCTACCGCTTTCAGTGATAAGTGTATTCCAGCTCACTGATACAGCTCGTGAGAGTTACGACATATCCGTGATGGTGGTTTTTAGACTTCGCAGTACTCCATAACTGTTGTATTCAGACTTTACAAGATATGGAGTTAAGTATAGTCTCCAGTTTTATTTTTCTCTTCCATTTTGTTGAGAAAGCTATAGGAGAACAAGAATCCTTGCAGTTAGTTTTCACAATCTGGGAAAAGATGTATTTTTCAAGGTAAGGATTTGAAATGTGTTTGTGGTGTTGCATTCTCCATCTTCCCACTGTCTCTGCTTTTAGCACCATTTGCATCGTTCATTGTTTCTGTGTTGCAGGATGGACAGTGTCCCTCAGGTAAGTCTGTGTGTATTTGGAGCTGGGAGTTCATCACATTATCCCAGTGTCCCATTGCATTTTTCTCAGAAGCTGACTCTGAGTTGATCCTCCTTATAAGCATGGATTTAAATTTTTATTTGGCTTCTGCTCTTGAAAGGTTTTTGTTGATTTGCAGCTTGACTTCTAAGGCAAGCACAGTTTGTGAATTCTGCTGCGGAGGAAAAACAGCTGCTCTGCAGGAAAGGGCCAGGCCATTTTTGTAATTGTACTCTCCTGAGAGAAAGTAAAAGTAGCTTTTTGCCTACGCCAGACAGGTACAATTACACCTAGTGGTAATCCTACCTAGCAGGACCAAGGGAGGGTAGGGAAGATCTTGCTGGAGTGCCCTCTTCTGTTATGCTGGGGTATAACGGCACATTTCAAAGAGGCCAGGAATGGTACTTCATCTGCAATACCTGTTCATTGGCAAAAAATACCCAGTACATCCTTCTTGTCCAATGTATCTCTTTTGTTTTTCTTATATCTCGGTTCATGAAACAAAAGGAATAATGAAATTCACACTAGAGGACTATTTGCATCTCTATCTTTGTGAGAAGTATCTAGAATATTTTCTCTTAAGCTGGAATGCAAAAAAAAGTTCTAATACAATCATCAGTAATCTGATAAGGATGCAAAGGATTTTATTAAAGATACAATCAAATAGAGAAATGTAATAGAGACAAATAAAAAAAGAGAATACAAGCTAACCTATGTAATGAGAAAACATTTTTTTTCCCCAGGATTTTATTTCTTCAAACAACAATCCCTGAAAGGGTGTTTTACATAAAAGTGCACAAATACTGTTGTCTTCTATTATGTCCTCAGATGCTTAGTGTTTTTTAAAAGCACCTCTGAACCTGTGCCATCTACTCTCACTCTCTGAGCATAGTCTGTCTTTTGTCAGTTCCCTTTTCTTTAGTAAAAGTAAAAATGCACCATAATATCCACACAGTACATGACTTCTAAATATATTACATAGAAAAAATAGTTTTTTCATAATCTTTTTCTTAATCTTAATATTCTCTCTCTATTCCTAATACCGTTTCTGAAATAGACCTCATCACTTTTATATGATCTTTGATACGTTTTTGCTTTTGATACAGAGAGGTTTGATTAGATGCCAGATACACAAGCTACCAAGTACAAAGGAACATAGAGCAAACTCTGTATGAATTTAAAATTCCAGATCTTCAAAGTAGATGTCTCAGTGCTGATGTATTTCATAAGGTAATTCTATCTGCTGTACGTTATCACTGATGTCATAACTTTAAATTCCCAAGAAAACACTAGAGCAGATGTTGGCTTATTAGAGTTTTTGGTTTTAGGCAAAGTACTGCACTGAACAGTGAAATAACTCCTACGTGAAAATCAGTGTAAAGTATGTTTTAATTCATAGAGCCAGCATTCAACAGTATGCTCTGAGCTCTGTTTTGGTTTTCCTTGTAGTAGCATCAAGGGCGTCAGGAGTGAAGATGACAGAAAAACAGTAGGATTGGGAACCTATTGTGTATTCTGATTAGAAACAGTTCTTGTTTGCTGACTGTAGGGAAGCCTTTCTTCTTTGTTCTGATGCTGTGAGAATAGTTTGCATGTACGTGGCACGCAGCTGCTCTTGCCTTTTCTCATCAGCTGAAAACATGAAAATGTGGTTTGGTCTCCTAGACTTGGCAATGGAGACTTCATTCTGGAATGCAAAATAGTCTGGTAAGTGGGGAGCTCAGGGAAGTGAAGGCAGAATAGATATAAAGAGGCAGGTTGCAGGCAAAAAGTGGGTAAAATGCAGCTTTTGTAATATATAAAAGGAAAATAGTTGTCAGTGTCTCATTCGGACACCTAAAAAAGCTGATGTTTGAATTAGATGTACTTATAAATACTTATAAATATATACTTATATATACTTCTATATATTTATAAATAATTTTGCAAACTTCAGAATATGTTTCGGATTCCTGAATTGAAATTTTGCATCTTTGAAACCCTGTCCTTATGTTTTTTTAAGTTGAACAACGTGGCTGAAGAGGCATTATTCCGTTTGCAAGTGGGTCTGGAAAACCCTTCATTGTCTGAAATAAAAAGTAAATTATAGTGTTTTCAGTTTCAGACATCCAGTTTTGACAAAGTGGCTGAAAAGATTTTTCTAAGAAGGAACTGGTATTTTTAGTCCCTGTCAACAAATGCTGGAGCAACTTCAAGAACAGCTAATAGTCTTTTCCTTTTTACTATAAGCTTCCTAGACATGCACGTGTCTTTTGTTTGCTTTTCTTTTTCTTTATTATTGTTTTCCTTCTTTTCCTTACAGGTAAGAGGTGTTAACTTTGAAGCGGTTTTAAGGGTGGAAGAAGACGAAGCCAACTCCAAAAGAAATGCTTCAAAAAGAGAAGTGGAGGATGACTTGGGTCTAAGTATGCTTATTGATTCCCAGAACAATCAGTATATCCTTACCAAGCCCAGAGATTCAACCATTCCTCGTGCTGATCATCATTTCATAAAGGTAATCCTTTTAGAGACACTCTTACCATTTGTTTTTATCAGACTTACTCCCCCCAGTTTGCATGCTGGAACTGCTTGATGGGGTTGAATACAGTTTCAGTGCTTTTCCCTCTAAAGCTACCCTAGCATTCATGATTTTCCCCTTCTGCTGGAGATCTGGACAATATGTTCCTAATCCCAACACAGTCTTCACAAGACTGATTGTGATACCATATGGATACTCTCTGTTTGTATTTGACATGACTTGTTGCACCTTTGGGGCAGCATTCTTTCTGCCTGGCTGCACAGGGGTGAAGCAAGCTACTGCTGTGCCTGGTAAGCCACTTGAGTGTTATCACTAGAGAGAATTTATCTATTCATGTCTTGTGGTAAGGAAAGGGAAGCTGAAAAATGCAGAGGCAGTTCTTATTATATTTGTGCTTCGTGAAGAATAACAGGATTGGGAAACTCTTTTTAAACAAAATGGATCTGTTTCACCATAGTGTTTTTTTCACCATTTTATGTAAAGCATCAGTCCCCCACCACCACTCCAGAAGACCTCAGGAAACCGTTATGTTTCCTGTTATATATTTAAGATATTTAATGAGTTGATCAAAAGTCCCCAAGGCACTAATTACTTAAGGTTAGTACCTCGAGTGTTTCATCTACAAAACTGTAGTGCTTATACCTATGACAGTGTGTTCAGGTTAGTTTACTGAAGTTGTGTTTTGTTTTCACAGGCAGTATTCTGCATTTAATTTTACAGTGCCATTTCTCTTTTGAAGGATCATAAGTCTTTAATTTCACCACAAAATTGTGTATCCTTTATGTTAACATACTTCTAAATTGTATACATTAGGATATTGTGACGATAGGAATGTTGTCTTTGCCATGTGGCTGGCTGTGCACAACAATAGGATTGCCAACCATGTTTGGGTATATCATCTGTGGCGTACTCTTAGGACCGTCAGGATTGAATAGCATCAAGGTAAGTGTGCAAGCTGCTTCTTGACTGATACCATTTACTGACGTGTTTAACAGTATCTTAAAAAACGGTATATCCAGCTGCAAACATATTAGAAAATAAAATAAAATCACCAAGCGTGGACTTTTTTTTTTCTCCTATGTAATGAAGGTACAAAAGAATTGTTGAAAATGAAAGCTAAAGGCTTATTTTGTTTGGTTTATTTATTGTTTGGTTTTGTTTTGCTTGTTTGCTTTTAATCATAAAGCAAAGCATTTGGGAGCCAAGTCATTTAAGCGATATCAGATACTCAGAAACCTGCAAAAAGTCAGTGTTAACGTGTAAGAAGTGTTTAAAACAAGTAGTTTCCTGAGTAGCATAGCTTGGCTTCCTAGAGAGTTATTTTGCATCTCTGTAGCTCTTTCATCCCTCCTAGTAACCCTGGTTCTTTTCCCTGCCTGCATTCCTGAATTCTCTTGAAGCCTTTCAGCTCCGTCACGTGTAGGCTGATTACTAGCTCAGTGAGAACCAGCAGGCTGTGTTTGGCCAGAAGCTGCACGTTTTGATTAGTGTTCTGGTGTGCATTAACAGATTGTTTGGCCAGCAGGCAAAACAGAGCAAGTGTTAAGGTTGGATGTTAATGTCAGGTTAAGTCAAACGTGTCTGTTACGTGAATACCCACATAGCTGCTTGGAAATTGCTACCTTTGCAACCTCTGCTCTGACGTGGGCTTTTGTGGAAATTGATCATTGTGCTCAAAAGTAAAGGGAGTAGAAATTGTAGGATTTTTCTCAGTCTCGTATTAGAAAGGAAGGCTAAAAAATACACTTTCAAAATTGTATTTTTCTAAAACTGAGATTAAATAATAACCTTTGTGTAGTACATAACTGTTGGGTTGAGAAGGTTTGGACCACTTGACCACTTAGATTAAGAAACAAGTTTGTGTGGCTGGCATTAGAAAGATTCAGCAGTGTATTTTCAGAGACTTATTCTGAGGAAAATGATGTGATCAGAACAGAGCTGAGGGAGATTTCTTTAGGAAGGTTTCTTCCTGAGCTGCCTGTTTCTTATGGAGCTGTGATTAAGCAGTACTCCTCTGTATAATGTTCATATTGACTGGATCTCTAGTGTGTATTCTCTCTTTTTGTTCTGCATTTCATAAAAACGTGGAATGTAGTGGATGAGTTGGAGGCAGGCAAATTGTGATCTTGGGGAAAGATAGTTTCCATCTCCACTTCTCTGTGATTGATGGTAGACCCTGTCCTCTTTTGCTCTGGACTATAAATGCATAGAAAAAAAGTGTTTTTACTGTTCTGAGAAGGAACCACTTTTCTTGCTGTTGCATCCTTCTCTCTGAGGTAGGAAGGCAGGCAATTATACTTGTCTGAGAGATGGATGTATGGAGTCTATAGGATGGAGAGTAAAACAGCAGCTACAGTACATTGGAATAATTCTACCAGAAGACCCACAAAGTAACTAGCCAGAAGTAACTGCTGGAACAGAAGCCTTGAGGGTTTAATAGCTTATGTATGAAGCAACCTACTCAATTTCATCAAGCAAGCAAGCTTCCCTAGCTCAAAGCACCTGTGCTTTTTGGGTGACCAGCCCTACCCAACCTAACTGTCCAGTAATAGCTAGATGGTGTTCTGAATCCTAAAGATGCAGAGGGAACTCCTGATGTCATATGACCAACAAGTGAACTACCTATGGAAACATAAACTGTTTATTTTGTGAGTATACTTACATTTTGCTTTATGAGTAGACTGATACGCACTAACATTTATTTTATCTTTTTGAAAGTCTATTGTACAGGTGGAGACATTGGGAGAGTTTGGTGTATTCTTCACTCTATTTCTAGTTGGTCTGGAATTTTCTCCTGAAAGATTAAGAAAGGTATTTCAGTATAATACTTCTATATTGCAGAATTTAATTGCTAATGTTCAAGTTACCTGTTCTATTTCAGATTTTTACACGCGCTCTGTAATATACTATTGTAACGTTGTACAATTTTGAAAAGACAAATATGGTGTTTTTGTCTTTAACTCTCTGGGAAGAATAGAATGCATTATTTATTCAGCATCTCCAACAAACTTTGCTATTCCTCTTCATTTTAGTAAAACAGTTTGATTGCTAGAAAAATCTCACACAATTTATTTCAATCCATCTCTGCTTTATTTTAACATGCAGTAACATACAGTTGCTGTTATGGAGTGTACAGTGATGTTTGCCAGTCCTGTAATAAAAAAAAAAAATCAGTTTGTTAAGTACTGCATACTGAATTGATGATACATGCTGTACTGGCTAATAAACTGATTCTGCGAGTATGTTAGCACAATCTGGAATAATTCATGCTGTGGCCATCGGGATTCAGCAAAAAGGTACAAGTTTCTTTTGGTCTTAATTAAAAAAAAAAAAATCTCATAAAAACAAGCTAGAATTTTAATAATGGAAAATACTGCTGCAAAATATGTGAAGCCTCTATCTATTTAAAGAGTTTCATTGTATGATTTGTTCCTAAACTGATGGTTGTGAGTTCATCAGACTATAAAAGCTTTATCTGAAATGTGTTAAAGTTTATGAGCATTCAGCCACTCTGCTATTTTTAGTTCACCTAAAGTCAAAGATAAAAGTCAGTAAGTCAGAGGTTCCTAAATCTTAGCATGCAGACTGTTACTGGTGTGCAAGCAAATTCACAATCGTGTGTTGGACTAGTATGGAGTGGGCTGCTGGTATTTATGATGGTCTTAACTGTGCCTTTTTTTTTTGCCTTGGAGTTGTACCAAATAACTGGTCTTCCATTTGATTTTAATGTAGTTCAACCCACAGTGGGCCTTTGACCCTTAACTTGTTGGTCTGTGAGCTGTGGGAATTTACGTAATGAGCTTTCATGAGGTAATAAGTGTTCTGGCACAGAATATTATCTACTAGGCATAATACCTTCAGAGTTTCAGGATGTGTATGATGAGAGCTGGTTAAATCAGTGGCCCAGCACTGCAGCCCCTAATCGTGCACCTTTAATGGCTTATTTGCACTGAAGAATCATTGTCATGTATCAGACTTTATTACAAGAACTTGTTTTCTTCCCAAGGTATGGAAGATATCTTTGCAAGGACCCTGCTACATGACCGTTCTGATGATTGCCTTTGGTTTGTTATGGGGACACTTGCTCCAAATCAGACCCACACAAAGCGTCTTCATTTCCACTTGTTTGTCTTTATCGAGCACGCCACTGGTGTCAAGATTTCTTGCAGGTACTGTTCGAGGAGATAAAGAGGGTAAGTATGACTTAAATGCTTAATGTATTAAATCAATGTATGACTTAAATATTTATGCATCTACAACAAAATTTCATTGAAATGGACTAAGTAATATTGTAAGAGAAACAAAAGACATAACTTTACTGGAGCTCTGGAATTCTTGTGCTGTTTAAGAGGCTACTTCATTAGACCATTACTACCAGTCTGTCACTGGGGCAGAAAGGCTGACTTAAGTAATTCACATCCTTTTCCTGCAAACTAAGACCAACTCAGGTAGTCTTGCAAAGACAGCAGCTCTTCAAATAAATACTCTCAAGTGCCAGGTTATAAACTTCTCCAAAGGCTCCTAAATGTTTCCACTCAAATGTTTTGCCAACCTGTTCTTCCCCTTAAACCTCTCTCATATATACAGTGTTAAGGTGTTGTTTTTTTTTTTCCCTCTCTCTAGAATATTCTTACTACAATGCATAAATTCAAAGTGTATGTTTTATGTATGCTGGCTCTTATTACATTATATATGCCTGTTATTTTGAAGACTATAAGTTTCAGTAAATGTGTAACTTTTGTTTAACTGCAAAGCAAAGTCAAGCTTCATATGAGTATTTCCTTTATATTATTGATATATATTTTGATTTAGCTACTGGGGGGCGGAGAGAAGCAAAAGAAAACCAGAATACTTTGACCTCACCCTCTGGAGTGTTATGCATAGCTTTCATTTTATTAAGACATTTCTAGATTTCTGCAAGCGTTCATATATTCTGATAAATGTTTCCATGACTGCTTTGTTGGTGTGCAGGAGATATTGACTACAGCAGCGTACTACTTGGCATGTTGGTGATGCAGGATGTGCAGCTTGGTTTATTTATAGCTGTTATGCCTACACTTATTCAAGCAGGAGTGAGCACACACTCCAGGTAAAAAAAAATAAATTAATCTCTTCCCCTCCCCCTTCCAATTTAGTATATAGATCGCAAATATGAACATGAGGGCACTACCTTTAATGTCAGCTCTATGAAAAATAGGGCTTTGTTCTCCAAGTTCCCTTTACTATTTCTATTTGTCATGTTGTACGTGGATATTCTTTCTGTTCTAGCTGCCTTCATCCTGTCCACTCTTAAACTAAAATTTGTAGTGAAAAATTCAGTACTGTTGAAAATAAGTGAATTTCTTCAGACTTAACTTTATTACCTTAATTTACTAAGATATTTTTGTCAAAGGCTGAGGGATAGAATTATTGATTCTGATGGTTTACTGTGAAAATTAATCAATAAAAATCTTTTTGAACCAGCATGAGAGTAAATTCTGTGCTATAAAAGAGATTGACAGGAATTCAGGAGATTTAGTATTCACGTTGTTTGCTAATATATTGAAATATCTTACTGTAGCTACTCAACTTTGAACATCCATGGAATTAGATCTTTTCACTTAAGGGGAACTCATTTAGAGGCAAGAGAGCAGTTGAAAGAAATGTTCTGTTTGTTCTTCTCTTCCAGCATTTTCAAGGAAATCCTGAGAATACTGATACTGATTGGCCAAATTCTCTTTTCTCTGGCTGCTGTTTTTCTTATATGTCTTGTTATAAAGACTTATCTCATAGGACCGTATTATCGCAAGTTGCATGCAGAAAGCAAAGGGAATAAAGAAATCCTCATTCTAGGAATATCTGCATTCATCTTCCTCATGCTAACGGTAATCTTTTACATTAATAAAACTTTTCGATACGTGTTGTAGGTACCACAGAAGCCATCACACCTACTGTTATTGCATATCCACATAGCTCTGTAGTTAATTATTTAGTTTTAAAATGTTTTAAAACCCAAATGAACAGATGATTCATGCATCACAGTACAGATGAGTAGTAGCAGACATATCTTGAATTTCAATAGACTGAACTTCTGCGGGTAACTTTTTATACAGCCACTGTAAGGATTGTGATTGCAGTTTTAATTTTGGGATACTTCATGCATTTCAAAATAATTTAGGATGGGTTTTGAGATGCTGATAACATCTGACTGACACTTGCTGACTGGATTCGTTTCAATGGCAAATTCTGGACAGTTTTTGTTATAAAATTAGCTTTTTTTTTTTTTTTTTTTTTCTGTGGGAGATAAATAGTTGGAGATGAAGTTGAGAAAGCAGGGAAATGTCCTAAGGTTCCTCTGCCTAAACTAAAATGTGAAGGATTCCTATGCATAAAGTGGGATGTACTAGAAAACAGAGTAAAACTTCAGGAGTCGTGCCACAGTTCTTCAGGATATGATCCACGTTCGCAGGTTTTGATATCTTTTCTGGGTTTGCTTTGTTTGGCTCTCAGTCTTCCTTCCATTGGTTTCTATCTCACGTTTCATCCATCTGACAAGCTCTTCAGTTGGAGAACAGACTGTGATGGCTATTCATAATGTCATGGGTTTGAAACTCTCTTATCCTGGTTATGCAGATTTTTGTGTCCCCTTTAAGAAATTCTGAGAAAAAATGTCCAAAAAAAACACCAAACTTCCTGTGTGTGGAACCTTTTTTTTGCTAGGTGTGTTTGCTTAATTATTATGGGGTCTTCTCCAGGAAAACGGTTGAGAAAGAAGTCAGTGAGAACATACCTTCACAATTTATTGATTTCTAGTCTGTAGGCTAAAAATACCATCCCTCTAAACAGCTGTTCATATTCCAAACGCTGGTGATAGTTAATAAGAAAGGAAACAAAACTATTTTCTCATTTTTACGTTCAAAGAGGCAGACATAACATCTGTACAACAACTTGAATAAAAACAAAACCCCACGTAAGTCACGTTAGATGCTGTGGTATATAGAAAAAAATCTTACTTTCATGAAAGAATGGCTTGCATGGACTGATTTTATTGAATTGGGCACATTGTGCCCAAATCCACATCAAATGTAAAAGGAGTTTGTGTACATGACTTCACATAATGCGTATGTATACAAACCTAAGGGAGAATATGTTTGAGTGGATTGGATGCATAATGCAAAAATGGGATGCTTGTTCAGCACGGGAAGCGTTTGTAAAGAAGCAAGTATTTTGTGTACTTTTAAGTGAAAGCAGCTTTCCTTTTAAACTTGATAAATAATGCATCAAAAGGAACAGTACAAAAGATGCTACACAAAACTTTGGTAAACCAGTTCAGAAGCTTTATGCTCACTGACACAGACATATTTATTATAGTAATACTACAAGCTGTGGCTTGAGCACAAAGACTTAAAAATAAATATAATAACAATAAAAAAATGGTGGTATAAGAGCATGGAAAAGGGGGAGGTGGTAATCTAATTTGAAAAAGTTACATGAATTTGGAAAGGGTAAACTAAGGTTTTTGGGTGCCAGGTAGAAAAACAGTTAAACTGGAATAATGCCTGCAAAGATCTTTCTCCTTTGAGAAGCAAGCCTAAACATTGACAGAATTTGTACAATTATCTGCACACGTGGAATTTTCCATGCTTGTTTAATTCTAAATAGCTTTTACATTTTTAAAGGGAGGAATAAGAGAGTGAGAAAGATTTCGGTAGCCTTTACCAAAAATAACTCCGCAGCTTCATTTAGAGAAATTGAGGGATGTTTTTAAAGAAAATATTTTAATTCTCTGTCTAGTGTGTGAATTATTTTGCAGGCCACATCCTTTCCAATGCATGACAAAGCAGGTAGGAATGATACTGCGTTTCTGCTTCATGCACAGTTACTTGCTATGTGCTCTTGTACTGTCTAGATTTCTGGGCTTCACCTAAGTTTATCCTTTATTGGGGTTCAAGTCTAACACTAGCATATGTATTGAACACACATTATATAAACTTATTTATTATTTTATTTATTTCCTGTGCTTGAAAATCTCCTTTGACTATGACAAGAATTGCAGTTTCTCTACCAAAAAGGGCAAATTCGGTGCCTCAGTATGGGAAAACGAGAGGGAATATACAGCAAAAGAGGTTCTTGCACTGCAGTGTAAGTGATTTCAGTGTAAGGGTTATCCTGTCAGTAGAGGAACTTTCTGTATGGAAATGACTTTTGAACATTTCTTTGTTTAGAGCATTTCTGATCTGCTTGGCTCACTTGGGTAACATTGCGGCTCATTGAATCTGAAACTGGATCTTAAATATGTCTCTGCTTTATAAACTAACTTAGAGTAAAAGAGATGTAATAAATCTAAAACATAAGCTATTTTACCAAGTTTTGGAGATGCTTCTTTCTGCTTCCCTATGTTCTGAGAAGTAACTAAAATTCCCTTTTTCCCTCAACAAGTTGGGCAGACTGGTGGGTCAGGGAGTTGTCAAGTGCCAATCCTACACAAGTCTAGCTGAATTTTGACGTGCAGTTGTACATCTTTAAGTCTTCTTATCATCGGTAACAAGGGTTCAGTAGATAACTATTAAACTTTAAACTGATTTTCAATCTTTGATTTATGCAGACACTGTTCTTTGTGGATTTTTTTTTTTTTTTTAAGACTAGGAAACTGTTTTTTTCAATTACAACATAAAAAATGAATACAGCTTCTGGTTTATACATGGTCAGATAGCCAAGCTGGTGCTTTTTTAAGTTAAGACACTTATTATGGTGGCTGAAGAACGTGTCGTATGTCAGCCTGAGTGTTGATGAGTGTCGCGTTGCCTTTTCATATTCTGTATGTACAGAAATATTACAAGAACATTTGTCTTAAACACTCCACTGATAATGAATTGCTGTATTAGATATCTGCAGGACAACAGTGGTCAGTTTTGTCATATTTTAACATGAAGTTGTGGAAATTTATTAAGCAATTGAAAAAAACAAGACCTAGTAAGGAGGACAGCAGTTACACATTTATAGGACTGTGCATACACTTGGGGAGATGTGGCTTCCAGTTTGACTGTTCTGAACTCTGGTGATAGCAGCAAGAGGAGAGAAATTGCCAGTTATCTTTACATATCAAAAAGATGGAAGGAGAAAAAGTTATGTCATTGCAGCATTTCCTATAAGAAAATGTACGTACTTTTCTGTGCAGTCAACTAGGAAAATCATTCCTGGTTTGCTGGAGTACTTTTCAGTGGCTCATAACCTGCTTTTGAACTCTCTTCTGTCAATTAAAGGGAGAAGATTAAGGAAGAGCTGTAATCTCATATTCAAATTAATTATTTCATAAAATACAGTAGAGATGGAATTTTAAAAGGCTCTCTAAAAATATTTCAGTTCCCATTAATGCTTTGCTTCTTTAAATGCAAGCTTAGGATCCACATCTTTACTCTTGGGCAGGTTTAAGTTATTAATCCCCAAATATTAATACCTTTGTTTTGGTCAGGGATTTCTTTAGTCTTACTGGCTCACCCTATTCATTAAGCTTCTATGATGATTAAAAAGCAGCAATAAGACACACCTTATTAGTGAACATAGGCAAAACAGCTGCTCAACAAGTGGTTGAAATTCAACTGGAACATGGTATAGCAGCAATGTTTCTCTCTTTATTTATTGCTGTGGTAGAACACTTGAACATAAAAATCCTATATTCTAGTGAGTGCAAAACAATCCTCTCTGAATTAAGAGTAAAATGCAACGCTTGAATGCAAATGAAAACTAAATTGTACAGGGGAAAAAAAAAGTGCAAATTAACAAAAGTTTTCATTTAGCTTTGACTGGCAAAGCTTACTGTAATGTAGGAGTCAAGAAAAGGACAGAGCACAGCCCAGGAAATAGTAGTTGTTAGAGCCCTGCTCAATAAAGGAAAATGTTAAAAATGGGGCAAACAGAGAAGGAATACTAAATGCAAAACACATTCTGAGTTTTGCCTATATAATACATTTCGTTGAGAAGCCCTTCCTGCCAGTAAAACAAATACTTCATTGCATCTATCTGCACACGTTATTTATGATAACCCCTGAAGCTACAGGGTAAGTTGAGGAAATGTGTCTGCTTATTGATAATATTGGACAACCAGAAACCAGGATGGGAATAGTAAAAGCAGTCTTGGTATAAATCTGAAGAACAGACTGGAGGAAGTTGAATGAGGTTAAGAAAGTACCCTGATTTGGGGGTTTTTCCTTGTCCTCTCATCCACTTCTCTTTTTTTTTGAGTAATGATTTAATATATATGTGTGTATATATATACATGTGTACATGTATATATATGTAGTAGACCTGAGGTTGTATAGTACCTGGAGAACAGACAAATAGCAAAATCTGCATTTTTATCTACCAGGTCCTTGAACTCATACTTAGCTTGCTCTAGAGTAAAGACATAGATCTCTGCTTTTATGCTGTGGGAGCAAACCTTAACAGACATAGGTTTTACTCTAGTTATGTTTTATGCCTTCTGAACAAGCATGTAGTTTATTTATTTCACCCTGATAATGCTTCTTACTTGCCTAGTGATTCTGGTAACAGCAGAATATCATACAGTTCCAGTAGAAGAGCTGGTAAATCCCTTCTGAAATGGTAACTTTACCATGCGCATATGAATGCTTAATATATCAGGTATAAATGTTTTGACCTGAAGCTCTGTTATAGCAGGTAATACTTAACTGTTGGTGGTTTATATCTGAATTGTAGAAATAATTCCAGTTTTATTTAAAGAGGCTGTATTGGATCATGGTCATACTCTCAAGCTTGTGACTTCCCAAAATGTTTCCTATGTTTCTCTTCCTTTTTTTTTTTTTTTTTGCCCCCTGGTGATTTTAAATCCTTTGTGTACATTTCCTTCTTCCCTCCTGCTATTTCAGATTGTTAGGAAGAGCACTGCGCATCTTTGAGACTGAACTGAAATTCCTTTTGTTTTAAGATAGGAGTGTATCCAGACTGGCAGATTTTTCACAGTAGCTGGCCCAGATTATTTTGTTGGTTTTGCCAGATTAGCAACTATTTGCATAAGTTGACAGACCCAATTTGTTTTCTTAAATATCTTGCAATAAGTGAAGGACTATCATCACAAATGGAATTACGTGATGATCATTTAGACATTCATACTTAAAACTAAACCCCAGTCTTTTGCATATTTAGGCAGCATTTTATACCTTGCTTGGAGACTCGTTTATCGTGTCTTCCCTTCTCCTCCATTAATTTCAAGTCACTTGAGTTTTAGCTTCATACTTCAGTGTAACACCATTAAAGACATGATCAATGTTGTCCATAAATGCACCGTGGTGTATTGTTACTTAAACTAAATTGCTATGGAAATAAGTCTTCAGTTAAAATGTCCTATTAATATTAATAGCATTGTCCTTTCTAAGTGAGGTGACCGTCTGCAGCAGTATGGTTTTAAAGGCATTTTATTTATACCTTTGAGAAGTGCTGCTTGCTTTTCTCATGTTACAAGCATTGCCTGAAGCAATTTCTTGGTTTGTAGTTCATTCTCTTTACATGTTTCATCTCTCCCTTCTAGCACCATGTTCAGATAATAAAAAAAAGAACGAAGAGCAGTCTGAATCCTTTCAAGTAGATGCTTCATTCCAGCAGTTTACTTCACTTGCTTAAATCCATCCCTACTCAGTAAAACACACAAACACATTTAGGTCCAAGTTACAGTCATAAAATGTAAATTATGTCTGGGACTGTTTTTGCTAAATTGAGACTATTCTCCCAAATTATAAGTTTTGATTTTTTTTTCCCCTTGTTTGACGGTTGGGAAACATGAAGTTCCTATGGCTTATTTTCATAGCCTCATTGTATTATGCAAGCCTGTCTCCCAAGCTGTTAGTCTCTCTCATTTTGGTGAAATCAGATGCTATCCATAAGTGAGACACAAAGCATTATGATGTAGCTTAAGAAATTTGTTTTTGTGGGGAAGGAAGTAACAACATGGAGGGGAAACATCATGGTTTTGTCAGTCTCTTCTACAAACATAATACTGCAGAAAACTGAAATAAGCTAAATTATATTTGATGTTGAGTTTGTGTATGGTTATATTAATTTATTACATCCAGTGCAATGTATAGCTTTGTAATTTCTCTATGAAATGGTGAAGAAGGTCACTCTGGGCAAGAGAACGGTAATAGATTTTCCTGTTATTCCTTGACAGATCACAGAGCTGCTGGATGTCTCGATGGAGCTGGGATGCTTCTTAGCTGGAGCTCTGATCTCTTCTCAGGGTCATATGGTCACTGAGGAGATTATGTCCTGTATTGAACCAATACGAGACTTTCTTGCCATCATTTTCTTTGCATCCATAGGTAATTTCCGACAAGCTTACTAAAAGTAGTGCTAACCTACAAATGTGGGGGAGTAAAAATAAATAAACTAGTGTATACAAATTGAATGAGATAGATTTTATGTTTTCAGTATACTAAAATGTTAACTGATGACACCATTGGTTTGACTTTGCTATTTTTTGAATGCAGTATTAATTTTCATAAGGAATTTCCATGTTGTACTCTCAATTTTTGTTTTAATGTCAGGTTTTTGTTCTCAATTCTGAATTTCTCTGGGCTCTTTAAAGCACATAACTAAAAATTTTAAGGGAAGAAAGGCCTTACGTTTGTTTTTTTAGAAAATGTTCTTCTGTCTTTGCAGTGGATATACTTGTAATTTATACCAAACATTTTATTACCATTTTGAGTCAGTGAATAGATTAAACTTCACGTCCTTGAGGCTTGGTTTTCTCTGTAAGCAGAATATGGTAATGGAAGCAGATCCTTTTTATAGCTCTTGGTTCCTTAGTTAGGAAGATGTAATCTGTGTGTGCTCAACACAGGAAGAATTGAACAAGAAATATCTCAGACTACCCGCTGACTGAAATGCAATATTGATGCCTAAGACCAGGGGAGAAATTCATTAAGGTTGTTATCCAGAGCATGCTAATTCCGAGAATATTTGTATAAATCGGTTCGGTTGCTATCTTCATTTTGAAGTGTTAGATTCCCTAGCAGTCCATATACCTCCTCTGAAGGAAACTGAAACACATTTCTGCAGTGCTTAGGTACGCTGAAAGAGGAGACAGGCCTACTGGACTATACAGGAGATGCATATCCGATTTGGGGAGCATTGCAATATCTAAAAGAAGGAGGACTGAGTGGGGCACACAAATCTAACCTACTTCAACCAATGCAAATTGAGAGATTCTTGGATTTTATTTCGAAGACAGCCCATGTTTTTGCTTCTTTTTTTCCTCTTCTTTGTTTTTTTTATCTCCATATATTTATTGAGATAATAATGAAGCCCTACCATCATCAGAATTTGTATGCCTTTCTTTATATACTGTTTTATGCCCGTTCTATCATAACAGAAACCAAGTGTTTCTTGGCAGTTTTCAAAATAAAAAAGTTATACTCGCCAGTTTTGATTTTGTTTTACCCTGCCCATGATAGTAACTTGTGCTGATCAGCCAGATTACTTAGCAGTAGGAATGTCTATTTGAAGAACTTGGTTTTGTTTTAATAAAATGGCGAACTATGATAAAACAGATAAGGTTGACAAGCAGACAAGGTTGGATGAGTAATTGCTAAATGCTTACAGATAAGTTTTTTACGTATTTTGGTAAAGAAAGTGATGGAAACGATGGTGTTACCAGGTTTATAAAGCAAGACAAGTAATCATAAGCCAGAAGTGGATTTTGCAAGGAACTGAACACAAAACTGTCCTACGCTCCTGTGACCTCATAAATTATGAATAGTGATGAGATGGATGGACAGGGTATGACCTCAGTTGACACAATAGGCAGCACTCCATGTAGTGTAACTTACACTTTAAGAAAATTGTTTTTGTAGTACTGTCACAAATCTCAAAAATTACTTTTCTGACTGTTCTTAATGTAATTGTAAGGCTTGTTCATAACAGGGTGCTTGCTACACACAGCAACAGTAGAGACATCTGAGATCCCGAGATGGGGTGATACACCATTGTAGCAATATAATTTCTATTCCTTTTAGAATAAAGGACTTGGTTGGAATTGGGGGGGGGCTGACTTTATTGAAGAGTGAATGTAAATACATCATTTGGAGAAGTTAGTCCCTCTTTTGTTTGTCCTAAATGCCTACTTGTGTTCTTACTACAAAAACCATCCTGGGGCTTGAAGGCTGAGCTGCACAGTACCTGTTCACGTACTGTCTGTGACAGTGTACATTCATTTATGCCTCTGTGTGTTGCTTCCAGTTTTCTGACTCTCTTCGTGTTATCTGTTGAGGTTAGGAAGTTGCTGTTACTCTCTGTCCTCACCAATATTTTTTGAGGGAACATCTGGACCAGTCTCTTCTTAGAGCCACATTTGGAGAACTTTGAGTACCTGCTACTCAGATCCTTCCCTTTCCACCTCGGCCTCATTTGATTTTTCTTTTGATTGCTTTTCAGGAAGATGGGAGGAATCTTTGCATAGCCTGTTTATTTTTTAAGGCTCCAATATCCTGGGTTTTCTCAGATCATGAGATGCATGGAATTTGGGCATCAGCAACCCTATCTGCCACTGGTGAGGAGGCATCTTGCTTCTAGTGAGTGACTAGGTTGTGTGTCCTCAGTGTGCTGTACAGACGTACTCACTTGCAAGGCTCCATGTTTTTCTTCTGGGTAAATCTTGTGGCTGGCATTGGGGCCTTAAATGCAAGATGCTGAAAAACTTCATCTTCTTCCTCTGAAGAGAGGTGATGCTGACAGTGTCGGATTTGAGAGAAGTGAAAGGAAGATCCCAAGACTGGAGCTGATTAGGTGACATTAATCACCTTCTCATCCATCCAGCCCTACTGCTTTGTTGTCCTGCATGGGACAGGATGAAACCTGGATGTTTCCAGCTTTCAGAACTGACATTAGGCTGGAGATGGCTTTCCCTTTTGTTGCAGAAAAATGAAGGAGAACGTTGTTTTTTCTGTTCTGCTATTGTCTTTTTGATCTTAGGTTCAGTAAGATACAGGGCTCTTAGGTCCATTAAGATACGGCATCCCAATGCATCACTAAAGTTATTTTTCTGATTGACTGTCCCATCTTGAGGATGTGTCAGAATTATTCCCACTGGCTGAGATTTGACCACCAGAGTTTTCTTTTCTTTCATCATGTCTGCTGTCAAGGATCTCTAAGATTCCTCTTCTTGATGCTGGATTTTCCAGGACACAGTGATGACTGTAGTTGGATCTTCGTGTGCTGTTTAGCAGCCAAGTAGCAGAGAAGTCTGTGGTAGTTTGTACCTCAGCTCTTTTGAATATGGTAATAATCTCCGCGTCAGGAAGCAGTCCAAATGAACTTCAGACTGCTCCAGAAGTGAAAAGGTTGATCCACCAGTAGTGAGGAGAGCCCTAGGCTATACTTACAGCCTCCCTTTGAAGCCTACAGTTCCAGATATGCTGGTTGGCCCTCTTGTCAGACACGACATTGTTACAGGCTGTGTTTCTCTAGCTGCTTTTCATGTACACCTCTGAGACCAGCCTAGAGGTGAGCAAGCAACGTGCACATGATAAACACTAAAAAGAGAGAAGCTACTTACCTGTCCATGTCCACAAAACATTTAGATTTCTTTTTTTTTTTTTTTTTTGGTGTGGTGTTCATCTCTTGTTCTGCCATCTCTCTCCTTATTCTGATAATCTTCTGCATTTGTATTTCCACAGTTAGAAGGAAATTAAGAAGTAAAATGCAGTGTGCATGCTGACTGGGTACTACTTGTATACAAATCTCTGAGCTTACGGTTTTTGAAGTACATTTTCATACACAATGGAATGTGCACATAGACAAAACATCTTGAAGTTGCTCTAAGTAAATTCTCCTGTGCATTTAGGAAGGCAGCAACTCTTGGTTCTCTACAGTGCTTCTGGCTCTGCAGTGCTACAGGGCAGGGAAAATTCATGAAAACCGGTCCTGCATTAAAATAAGAAGTTAGAGCATTGATTTACTGGCCGCGTGCTTCAGAAAGCTAAACTCTTGCCCTTCAACAAAAACAGTTAGGTTGGAGAATTGCCAACTGTTATGGATTTATCAGGATCATCTTCACTAGTTTGGTTTCTCTTTTAAGAGATTTTGTGGAAATGGAATGGACTTCCAAAGATGCTCGTCTGCACAAGTCCCTCATATCCTAGGGGAAAAAATAGACTTAGCTGTGAGTAAGATTCCTCCTCAGTGACTACAGGACTTCTCCAACAAGTATTTGTTTTTCTTGTCTGTTTAATAATAGCCGGATTTAGTTTTAAGCTGCAGTGCTCTTGACAGTTCATTATCTTGCTTCATGTAATAACCAAATTATTTTGCTGATGCTACAGCAAGGTTTGACCTTTTACTGATCATACAGATAAGATTAATGAAAATATGTGTGTGGTGACTGGGAATAAAATTCAGGTGTCTCAACATGAGACATAAGTTTCTCAAGCAAGACCACCTTGATATATTCCTTTTCAAAAAAAAAAAAAAAAACACAAAAAAAAAAAACAATCAAGACCAACAGAAAACAACCCTAAATCATCAAAATGTGGCTTTAAGTCATTCTTTAGCTGGGGTAGACCATACTCCGGGGTTTTATGGCTTTTCCTGATTCCAGTCCAAGTGAGTTTTCTTGTTCAGGTGACTTTCAGTGATTGCATGTGAGGGTCACGGGGTCAAAACAATTACGTTTTCTGTTGCATTTGTAATTTATGTGTAACATGTTCCATCCTCAGTAATAGTCCATTACCGTTTCATACAGGAATGTTAAATGGCTAGCAAAGTGTATCTTGCAGTCACCATGCAGAACAATGGAATTATTTTCCTGCAGTATTTTTAAAGCTTTAATGAAAGAAGTGTGTTTCAGTTCAGGTTCTGGACTGTTGACTGGTGTGGAAAAGACAAAACATAAACAAAAGTGCTAATGCATCTGTCATATACAATTTAACTCAATTTGGAATATTGTTGGAGATAAACCCCTCCAAAAATGTCTAGGTTTGCCAGGAAATACTTAAGTGATTAAGTAGGTAGTGTTGGTAGGTGTGTTGGGGATTTTTGGTTGGTTGGTTTTGAAAATACAGTCTTGCACTTAAATCTGTGATGAACTCTGAAAATTATCATAATAAAATATTGGCATTAAACTTTGAAATATTTCTTCCCAGGGATTTCTAGCATAACAAACTGAATATTGCTATCTATTAAATAGATCTTAGTTGCACTCAGTAAATTAAAATATAGCAAAGCAGTGGTAAAAAATAAATAAATAAAAAAAAATGTTAAAACTGAATCATTGTAAATACTTCTTGTGAAACGTTACTGTCCGGTGGATTTCTTTCAGCAATGAACTGTATGTGCTCTAAATAAGTTAGAAACAGAACATGCCACAGTATAGCACATAACTTTAAGGAAAAAAAAACAAAACAAAACAAAACACACAACACTAAAACTCCTAGTTCTTGTAAATGAAATCTAACTCCATACTTCTTTGTAGATGCAATAAAATCTGAATAGTTTAAAGGACAAATATATTATTTCAGCATTTGGAAACATTACATGTTTTCGTTGTCTGTTCCAATAAATACAAGATTTTTATATTCAGCCTTAGCTTACATGTGAGTATGAATGCTTGACTAAAGTTGTTGATTTTAAAAGATGCACTAAGATAATACCAATGTTTTTCCTTCTAGGACTTCATGTTTTCCCCACATTTGTCATATATGAACTCACAGTCTTACTCTTCCTTACGTTGTCTGTGGTCATAATGAAGGTATTTTTTATTATTTTTTTTTTTAATCTTTTAACAGTGTGAATAATCTTAGTGCTGCATGCCATAATGAACATAGTTCAAAAACTGAACATCTGATAAAAATCTGATAAATCTGATAAACATCTGAGAAGTCATACATCTTTACTGTAATTGGAGGAATCTTAACTGGTAGAATACAGTTTGATACAACATTCTTAGGCTGTATACACACAAATATATATTTTTTATGTTTAAAAGATAAAAATAAATATACAGGGATAAAAATCAAATATGCAGGGTTTTTATTTAATGTTACAAGTCTGTTACACGTGGATAAATGTCTTTGCTTAACTTAGGATTTGTAACAGTTATCAAATGCTTTATTTTAGTAAAAATGCTACTTTGTACTGTGCTGTGTACTTTTTGCCTCTTTTGATGTTAACACAGAAGACATTTACAAGTCAGCCAGTTTATTTTTATGTCCAGCATTGTTGTATTTGATGCTATGTATCTTACAGTGACAGTAATATTTTCTTTTATTTAAAAACAAACATAAAAAAAAACCAACAATGTAACAACAACCCCCCAAAACCCTACTTTTTAAAGTTTGTCTTGGCAGTGCTTGTCCTTTCTCTGATTCTTCCAAAGACCAGCCAGTATATCAAATGGATTGTCTCAGCAGGACTGGCACAAGTCAGTGAATTCTCTTTTGTTCTTGGAAGTAGAGCACGCAGAGCAGGGATCATATCTCGGGAGGTAAGCTGTTTTATAGTTACTAACTTTGGGTTTTGCACCTGAAAAACTTACTGGGATTTTATATTGCAGTGTATGTGAAATTTTGGAGGCCTATTTTGTGTAACCTTGAAACTGGTAACAAGTAATCAGCCCATACAAACAGAAACTTGTATGTCCTTGACAGGGTTCTTTGTTCAATTTTTCCCTTATTGAACTTTTTTTACTTGTTGGACTTCAATGTTGCAGATTGCACGTTTTAATTTTAAAATTATATAGTTATGAATGTTTTGCTTTAACTGTTCCCCCTTAACGACTTCTTTATTAATGGAGCAGTGAATTGTAGATAGCACCCAGGTGTCTAAGAGTGAGAAGCCTTTGCTTTTAAAATCTTGATACAGCTATAGAAAGATGTAAGGAGAATATAGGAATTGACTAAGGAAATATTAGTAAATCAGAAGTAGAGGGTAAGTATGATGAAGTGCAAGTTGCCTTAATGTACAATCAAACAAGTGAGCAAACAAACTTGTGGTCTTTACCTGCAAAGATTGTTAATTTTAAATCCACTGCAGAAGAAATTAGGTTTTTCAGTAGTCGTGAAAAAATACCCTAGGACGGAAACCTTAAACTTAGCTTTATATTTAAGCTAGGAGAACACTATTTTCTCAAGATGAAATCTCTTTTGCGAACTTCAGTAAATTATGGCTACAGAGATGTAACTGACCTCACATTCTAAAGCTAAGTGCTTTCCCCTCTGTATCTCTGCTCACAAAAATACTTTACTGGCTCTCTGAGCTGTCCATTGTGAGAGCACTGGGCTGTATAATGCTGGAACCAATTCCAAATAAAGCAAGTGTGAAAAATCTACACAATGCTGTTCACTTGCGTGTGTAGAGGTGATTCATCGTCCTGCTTACTCCTGCATATAATTAGGAGTTATAAATACTATATGTTTGTATAGAGTTTCAAGATACCCATCACAGAATCATTTTAGGGGCCCACCCAGAGTGCCTGGAGACCCTTAGGCTTTCAATTTTCCTGGGTCAGTTTTCATGTCATTTTCTACTGTACAGGTTTACATAGGTCTAAATTCCAAATGTCACTCAAATTATATTTGAGACCTCAAACTACTTCTTATTGCCATTTTAAAAGACTCTTCCATAACATGTAACAAAGATCTCATTTCAGAAGATGTGCAGCATGACTTAGAGGGATTCTTGATAGGTAAAAAAATATAGTGTATATATTAGTAATACACTTTGCCATTATATCTTTAAACCAGAATGGTTTATGTTTATTAATAAAGTGGTATTTGGCCTTTGACTTTTTAGCACACCTTAAGCTTTTGAAATTGACCTCTCAGCTATAGATGTAAATAACTGTTATTCTATGAGCTCATTATGTTTGTTTATTTGTTTGTTTTTTTCTTTTTTCTTTTTCAAGTGAATGTTCAAATCAGGTAAACAGATAATTACATGACTTGTGCATGCACTTTTTTGCCTTTGTAATCAAGCATACTTGGTAAGAGAGACAGGTAAAGTCTCAGCCTGAAAATATTGAGAAAAGTCTGATCTCATCAAATTTAAAGCATTTCTTAGTTTATCACGTAACTGTGGAGGGAAGTAATGGCTTTTATTTCCGATTTTCAGGTCTATCTTCTTATTCTGAGTGTGACTACTCTAAGTCTTTTACTTGCCCCTGCCCTGTGGAGAGCTGCTATTATGAAGTGTGTTCCAAGACCCGAAAGACGCTCAAGTACTTGATAAGACTTGCACATGTACAAGAATACATCTTGCAAAGAATATATTCATTGTTCGTTGTATCTCTATGCACTTGGAAAACAAGAGGTTTTGAGTAGTCCTCTTAACATGCACTTGGTTATAAGCCTTACACTGACCTTAAAACAAAACAAAATTCAACTTCTAAAAGAGTGATCTGATTTGAATTGCACATCTCTTACAAAACTGGCTTTCTCTGACAGATTAGAATCTACCAGAGTATTTGTTCCTGATCTGTTCAATTATGCAGAGTATAAATTATTTTTTTAACTATAGCATCATGCAAACTGTGTTGATTATTTCTTGCCTGAATGTGCCTTTTAATTTTCATCTCCTTTTCTTACTGTTGGTTCATCACCAGGTTATGTTTGAAAGAAAAAAATATATATTATGGTGCCTATGGTATCTTCTTCTACTATATGACTTGAGTCATTTTCACACTTGAGTGTTTAGTATACTGGTATAAAATTAATCACAAAACACATTTCTGATGGTGAGTAAAAGTCTAGTCCTTTACACAAAGAAGTATAACTGTTAGTATCAAGCTGTTTTAAGCAAATATGTATTCCAAATGATGCAGCCGATATTGTATAAGATTTTATTCCAAATTACAGCATATAATGTATTTTCTTATAATGGTAGCTTTTATTTGTGTTAGTTCTTGTATTTATTTACATACTTGACTAAAAGGTCAAAGGGCATAGGTTATATTTCAAGACTGACAACTGTCACCCATTCTTGTTGCTAACTGCTGTTGTAGTAATTGTTTACAGTTTCTTGTTTTAAATCAAAAATAAATTTAGTAGATCTGGGAAGTCTAATTTCAAGCAGATATAAAAAAGTCATTTTTTTTTTTAATCTCTGGAGGTTGGGTGTTGCTGATAATATTCTACATTTGAAGTTATTTCAAGCAAATTAATTTGCACAAAACTAGAAATGGCAGATTGAATGTGTATTTGGAACTCCACAACTTCATACTTTGCATTTACATTGTATAAATTGTTAGTCTCCTTAAAGTATCATGATATTTAAAAAAAAAATAATGTTTTGAATGTGATCTTAAATGTAAGTGCTTTGTTCTTTAAAACATTATACGTAACAGGATAAGCCTTGTAAGACTATTTCGTAAGCATCATAGAGAAAGCTTATTCATAGATTGTAGTCCACTCTGACAATTTCAAAATCATGTCGAGTTTTATCTGTTTAAAACAGTGCTATTAAAAGAGGTATATTAACACTTTAGGCCAGTATTATACTATCACATGAAATAACTTTGATACCCGGCAAATAGCTAGCAAAATGCATGTTCCGTGGGTTTAAATTGCCAATTAAAATGAAAGTTATCCTCCAGGTAGCGAAACTAACAAAGCTTTGGATGGGTTTGCGTGCTTTATACTTCTTTCCTCTATCATGTATCGGCAAGGCTTTGGACACTGTCTCCCAGGACATCCTCATAAACGAGCTCAGGAAGCATGGGCTGGATGAGGGGACAGTGAGGAGGCCTGAGAATTGGCTGGACGACAGAGCTCGGAGAGTTGTGCAGTCTAGTTGGAGGCCTGTAGCTAGCAGTGTCCCCCAGGGGTCAGTACTGGGTACAGTCTTGTTCAATTTACTCCTCAGCAACCAGGGTAAAGGAACAGAGTGCGCCCTCAGCAAGTCTGCCGATGACACGAAGCTGGGATGAGCAGCGGATACCCCAGAGGGCTGTGCTGCCATCCAGAGGGACCTCCACAGGCTGGAGGGATGGGCTGAGAGGAAAATTGTGAAGTTCAGCAAGTGCAGGGTCTTTATTTGCACCTAGGGAGGAATAACTCCAAGTGGAGACTGGGGGCTGGCCTGCTGGAGAGCAGCTCTGCAGAGAGGGACCTGCGAGTCCTGGTGGGCAGCAGGCTGACCATGAGCCAGCAGTGGGCCCTTGTGGCCAAGACGGCCAGCGGTGTCCTGGGCTACATTTGGAAAAGTGTTTCCAGCAGGTGAAGGGAGGTGATCCTCCCACTCTACTCAGCCCTGGTGAGGCCAAACGTGGAGTGTTGTGTCCAGCTCTGGGCTCCCCGGTACAAGAGGGACATGGAGCTACTGGAACAAGTTCAGAGGAGGGTTACGATGATGAGTAGGGGACTGGAGCACCTGTTGTATGAGGACAGGCTGAGAGAGATGGGCCTGTTTAATCCGAAAAAGAGAAGGCTGAGGGGAGACCTCATTAATTTGTATAAATATCTGAGAGGAGGATGTCGAGAGGATGGAGCTGGTCTCTTTTCAGTTGTGCCCAGCACAGGACAAGAGGCAACAGGCACAAACTGAAGCCCAGGAGGTTCCAGCTCAATATGAGGGGGCACTTCTTTACTGTGAGGGTGACAGAGCTCTGGGACAGGTTGTCCAGAGAGGCTGTGGAGTCTCCTTCTCTGGAGATATTCAAAACCCGCCTGGATGCCATCCTGCACAACGTGCTCTAGGTGACCCTGCTGGGCAGGGGGTTGGACTGGGTGATCTTCAGAGGTCCTTCCAACCTCAGCCATTCTGTGATCGTAGTAGCCTCAGCTTCCTCCTCTGTTTTCTCTGACATCAGCTGGGTTTGTCAAAATACAGCTTGGACTAGTTTAGAGAGTGTACTTATTATTAGGCTGGTTGGCCACTGCCACTCATCACTGAGTTCTTGCAGACTGGATGTGGGGCTTTATCTCCAGACACTGATTCTTCATAAAAATTTACAGAAACACATGGCAATTTCATCTCTTTTGTAATGGTTTCCAAAGTTATTGAGGAACAGTGACAAACAGAGGCAAAAGCTGCCCTATAAATCTATAAAAGAGTTTGATTATAAAATGAGTATCAGAAAAGAAATTTGAAACTGCTTTCTTGGTTTACTTCAATAACTGGTATTCAAAATATAGAAGTAATTCAGAAGCTTTATGATAGAGTTTAAGTCTACCATCTCAAACTTTTGTTTCAGGTGCCCCACTAAAATAATTTTAACTTTGTTTCTTAACAAACTAGGGAGAGAAATCTTACTCTGACCACTGATCTAGTCTACAGTTTCTCCCCGAAATACAAGGTTCTCAACTAAATGCCCCATGTTAATTTTGAAAGATGCTTAAGTCACACATAGCATACTACCTATGTTTCAGGGAAAAAATAAAATTGACCATGACAGAGGCCTCTGTCTGGTTTCCATTATGTCTCTTTGTCAGTAAGCCCTCAGAACTATTATACAAAGTATTGCAGCTGTGATGAGTAAACCTTATGTCTAAATAAACTGTTGTGGCTACTTGTACTTCTCTGGAAAATTCCTGTGAGGACAGAAGGAAAAAAAGAGGGTTTATGTCTCTTAAGAAACATATAAAATACATATTTTCCCTGATTACCTTTTAAAGGATTTAAGTGAAAAGTCCTTTTGGCACCATGTCCAAAATGGAGAGCAAGTATCTGGGTACCCTATGGGCAGCCTCATCTCTGCCATCTCTTTACTGAATAATTTTTGACTCAGACCTGACTTGGCTAGACTTTCTAAGGACTGGGGGAAGAGCAATAGGAGCTTCATCTGAGCTCAATATCCTGTGTCACTTTGTTGACACAGCCTTGAATTGCCTGACTGGATAATAAACGCAAGTCCAAATTACTAATCTTAATAGACACAAGTTGATTTACAACCAGATAGTTGGGGCTGTCCTCTAGAAAGCTGCAGGTACGTTTAGATATTGTAAATGTTTCCTGAAATGTAAGTTACAGCTCCATGCGTAATTCCAAGTCAAAATTGGGTAGTCCCATGACACAGTCTTAGGATAGAAACGAAGGCTTTATTCCTGAATGATTGTCATGCCTGTATATAAAATGGGCAGAAAACTTTGCAATTGGCACATGTTAGATATAGCAGCAGCTTTTCAGGAATTTACTGCTTGTAATCTGGAATACTCTTTCTGTGTCAAGGAGATAAAAATAAAGCAGAGAACCAGAACCCCTGAGAGGAACGTCTGCTGATTTGTTGAAGATTTGGTAAAGAACAGGTGGTCTTGTCTGGAATTTTTTATTTCAGCTTGTTGGATAGAGGTCTATCTCATTCTTTTATCCAATGATCAGCATCATCTGAACACAAAAAAGCTGATGCGAAGCAGAAACTTCATTAATGATGAAAGGACATTTACGTGGTGAAGCTGAGCTTGAGAGAATAGAAAGGAAAGATAACAACTCATTCAGCATATCTTGTGTTTTTGTTTGGTTGTTTGTTTTTTTGGTGGTTCTGTTGTTTTTTTGTTTTGGAGGTGAATGAGACTGGTTGCTTGGTTTGTGCATCTTTCTCTGAGGACTGCAGTTCTTGCTTGTTAGCCCTTAATTGCTAATTTTGTTCATTGTTGTCTATGAGGGAGAAGGAATCAAAACAGTTTGCAAATTGGTGGTATTGACTGTCATCGTACCTTGTGATTCATTTCCCTGTTTCCAGTGTTAGATCACTATATATTGACCCTAAACTACCCTGTGTTGGTCTCATCCCATAGAAAGCTGGCTGTGCTTGTTTCTCAGTGGGAAAGTCTTTCTGTGGGAGCTACGAGGTAGCTTCTTGCAGTTGACACTGGCATCGCCCTAGGGTAGCTCAGTGAATGCTGTCATAGGTGCCTGGAGCTTTTTAAAAAGCTTTAAGAATTCATATTTCCCGTAATCCTCAAAAATGAGAAGAAAACCTCACAGTGCCTTTTATTTGTATAGTTGGACATCCTTTGCTTTGTGGGCAGAGAGGCATGCGAGGGTGCCTCGCTTGAGAGATCAGTGCTGTATGATGATGCTTGATGGAGGGTGTGGGAAACCTAGCCTGGCCTTGCTGCCTCTTGGAGCAAACCCAAAACAATCTAACCACAAAAGCTCTCCTGGGTTTTGTCTAAGAAGGGAATCTACTTTTGCTCGGTAAGCATTCCTGGCAGTGCTCCAGCACATGGGCAACACAAAGCATGGAAGAAACGGGACCGGTGAGTGACAGGAGGCAAGCCGTGCTAGCAGTGCTAGTAGTTTGGCTGGAAATGGCAATTGTGTGTAAACAGCAGCTAGTCCCAGGCATCCACTGGTAAGCTGATCTGATGAAGGAGGCAACCGTACCCCTGAAAGGAGAAAGAAGAGCAGCAAGATGTCCTCAGGGCTAGGAAACCTGTGGTCCAACCTGCCCTGAGGGAAAGGAAAGGCAGAAGAGAGCATCCACCAGCTTCAGGTAGTAGCCTAGCAGGTGCTCTTCTTTGGTGCTCCACCATCTCCACTGAGTAATTACCTCTGCTAGGTGGGAGACGCTTCTTGCCCATAAGGACAGTGAGCTACCATGAGAGACGACTGCACCCTCCTGCTGGAGCTGAAGGACAAACTGGGCAATCTGAATGGCCTCGGGGCAGCTGATCCTGCCCTGGGGGACAAAACCTAGGTCAGAGAATGGCAAAACGTCCAACGTTACAATGCCAAGCTGTATTTTTATCTCCTAAAATAGAGCAGAAGTTTGAGAATTGGGAGATACTGCCTCCCAGTGAGGCCAAATGTTGACACGCGTATCAGCTGGTGTGTGAGGTGTCTGTTTAAGAAGGGAGCTCTTGCAGGTCCCTATCTGAAAATGGCGTGGCTGCCAGTTCCAGAGCCTGTAGGTCAAAATGCATCCATGTGCACGTAGTCTGGCGTGTCACAGGTGTCTGATTATCGACTAGATGATCTGAAACACGTTTTTCACATCTCTCTCTCAGTCTGCTGCACAGTTGCACCAAGCTGACGCTGTTTGAAGTTGTGATCTGTTCTCCTTTTCAAGCACACTTAAAATGAGACAGGCCACAATAAAAAAAAAAAAGGAAAAAAAAAAGAAAAAAACAAAACCTGCAAACAGTCTTTCACCACTACAAACACAAAGGAAGTCCTGAAGCTCCAAAAAGCTTTAGAGAGACCAAGAGGAGAGGAATGCCTAGAGAGCAGGGAAATGAAGATTTTTTTCCACACAGTGAGATTACACAAGTGTCAATAGAGGAATTTGAGTAATTAAATAAGGTGGTCTTCAATCACTGTTTCTTTACTGATTTGGGTCAAGAAAGACTTGATTCTTGC